GTCCCACACGACATCCTTGTCTCTAAATTGGAGAGACAGGGATTTGATGGATGGACCACTCGGTGGATAAGGACTTGGCTGGATGGTCACACTCAAAGAGTTGTAGTCAACGGCTCGATGTCCAAGTGGAGACCAGTGACAAGAAGTGTTCCTCAGGGATCGGTATTGGGACTGGCGCTGTTTAACACCTTTGTCAGTGACATGGACAGTGGGATTGAGTGCACCCTCAGCAAGTTTGCCAACGACACCAAGCTGTGTGGTGCGGTTGACATGCTGGAGGGAAGGGATGCCATCCAGAGGGATCTTGACAGGCTTGAGAGGTGGTCCTGTGCAAACCTCATGAAGTTCAACAAGGCCAAGTGCAAGGTCCTGCACCTGGGTCGGGGCAATCCCAAGCACAAATAGTCTGGGCAGAGAATGGATTGAGAGCAGCCCTGAGGAGAAGGACTTGAGGGTGTTGATTGATGAGAAGCTCAACATGACCCAGCAATGTGCACTTGCAGCCTAGAAGGCCAACCGTATCCTGGGCTGCATCCAAAGAAGTGTGACCAGCAGGTCGAGGGAGGTGATTCTCCCCCTCTACTCCACTCTCGTGAGACCTCACCTGGAGTACTGTGTCCAGCTCTGGGGCCCCCAACATAAGGAGGACATGGACCTGTTGGAGCAAGTCCAGAGGAGGGCCACGAAGATTATCAGAGGGCTGGATAGACTGAGAGAGTTGGCGTTGTCTTTATCTGAGCATGACATCATGCTCAGTTGAGAAGAGAAGGCTTTGGGGAGACCTTATAGCAGCCTTCCAGTACCTGAAGGGGCCCTAAAAGAAAGCTAGAGAGGGACTTTTTACAAGGGCATGTAGTGATAACAGCTTTGAACTGAAAGAGGGTAGATTTAGATTAGATATAAGGAAGAAATTCTTCACTATGAGGGTGGTGAGGCACTGGAACAGGTTGCCCAGAGAAATTGTGGATGCCCCATCCCTGGAAGTGTTCAAGCCAGACTTTGAGCAACCTGGTCTAGTGGAAGGTGTCCCTGCCCATGGCAGGGGGGTTGGAACTGAACTAGATGATCTTTAAGGTCCCTTCCAACCCAAACCATTCTATGATTCTCTGATACGTCACAAAGGTGATTTGAGGAGACAGAGCCATCGTGCACCTGAATGCACTGCTAGATCAGGCCTGATTGCTCAGCAATGGCTGAAGCTAGCCTTTAAGAAATCACATAACCTGGTGCTCTCTCAAGAGCGGACTCTTTTGTGTCTCTGTTGCATTTATAGAAAGCCTGTATTTTACCAATTCTATTTATCTTTGTGGCAGCTGGCACTTGGACTTTTCCAGGATCGTGCAAACTCATCTACCAAGCGGTGCTGTATGTAACCTAAGGGCATATGAATAAAGAAGAGGTATCCTACCAGGCAGAAAGAATTGAGCCTTGTACACATCATAGATGCATGCACGCCTTATACAATCTCTGAAGATTAAACTGAAAATTCAGGCAAACTTATTCAGATGATGCAGGAGTCCTGGCCCCTTCACCCTCCCCCATTAGCACCATCTGGTGTCCTATGAATGATCCCAGTCACACAACAATTCAATCATGCAGCAACAATTATCACCGCATCTTGCCCTGAAATATGTTAAATGTCACTTAACGTTAATCACAAGCAGCATTTATTGCACTGAGTCTTTCACTAACTACTGGTTAAGGAAGGAATAATACCTGTAAAATGTAACAAGATGGCCTTGTAACTGGCACTATGATTAAAGCTTGCTATAGTATGACATGAACCAAAATAGATTCATTTAGTTAACAAAAGAATTTAGTCTAAAGGTAATGTGAGTCAGTTTTCTAATCTTTGGATTTTATACTGACTGATGTATGTATGATAATTTGAGATTAACTTAGTTTTGTATGCAAATATTTAATTTTCATTCTTAGGATTTCTATTAAAAATACATATGCAATATTTATAGTTAAAATTCCGATTTCAGGTGTCTATCTGAGAAGAACTTAAAACATTCAGAGTTTTATGCAAGGCCCATATATTATCAGTGACCTGATATTCATAACAGTTTTCATATTTTTCCCATTTGTAGATGATTTTTTATTCAACTACAATATCAGTAAGTTACATATGCGATACCCCAAAAGCAAGTAATTTTCATGAAGATTTTTTTTTTTTACACAAACATTTCTTGATTTGAAAACCTTGGGTATTGTACTAGACTACAGGAGCTGCTCAGTTCATTTCCAAACAGCATGAAGATTAATTAGGAGGGAATGTTTGTATGAGTACCAACTATGGAGAAATAACTATTTCCGGTTTCATCTTTAATAAGCTTGGGAGCAAAGAAAGGAAACATCCTTTTCATATCAGAAAAACTCTTCTGCATGCTACTTTCCAGTTGAATCAGTCTGCCAGGATAAGGAGAGGAAGTGAAAAATCCACTGAAATACACTTTAGTTTAGGAAACATGTATTGAATGGGAAGTCTAGAGACTTAGAGATGAAATCTTACCTATTATACCACAGCTGCTTATATTTATGTGCCCTTTATGTGCCTCATTTCTAAGTAATTTTCATCATCTGAGAAGGCACTCAACCATCACACATAGCATTTTACAAATCACATAACAAAGCTTTCACAAGGTAATTTTTCAGAGAGCTGGAAATAGCACACAAGCCTTCATTTTGACAGTTCACTGCCATTACCCTCTCATACTAAAGCTGTGAATAGAATCCACCACTCTCCAGCTGCCTAGCAAATCATTGTATCTCATATCCGGGGACTGTTTCTTAGAAGGAACAGCAATACTTCAAGAGACAGATGTCACGATGCCCTAGGTTTACAGTCTAAAGCCTCTTTACTGTGGCCCAGCAGATACCTTGCATCTTCAGTTTTCCAAATCATTTATTTCATCCTCTTAGAGGAGTGCAGGTATGAACTCGTTTTAATTGTACCCACTAACTGTTATGGGACTTAGAGGTGTGCCACCTGCATGCATACTTTATCAGGCTCACCTCTTTTTTTCCTACCTAGCAAAGTAAACTGTGAAAATAGACCTTTCTTTCTTTCTTTCTTTCTTGGTTTGGCCTCCAAAGAGCAAATTCCATGTCAGATTTTAGGGATTTGGCTATTCCTTTCGCTCCTTTAATAACTGAAACACACATACAGGGAGTTGATTTGGTATGAAAATTCATGTTCAAACTTTTCTCTCCTGCTCTGCCTTGGAGAAGCTTGGGCTTACAATGGTAGTGAAAAACATTCCACATCACCACTTAAAGACAGTTCTTCATATTCCATTTTGAACACAGAATCACAGAAAGATTTAGGTTGGAAGGGACTTCTGCATGTCTCCAGACACAGCTCCTGCTCTGAGCGGAGAAGCCTGCAAAGCTAAATCAGGTTGCTCTGGGCCTTGACAAATTTAGTTTTGAAAGCCTCCCATCAGTGTATACTGTCCCAGAGCTGTACCACTCTCAGGGAAGAGTCCTTTCTATATGCCGAATCCTATCAATTAAGTAACAGATTTTACTAAAAAACCCTGGTTGTTATAGAGGGGATATGTTTAGAAGGTAAGCTCAACATGCTCCTGAACCCTTCCATGTGTCAAACATGTTGGGTTAATGCAATGTATTACAAAATCATGTGCCATATGTTAAAATGTCTAGATCAACTGTGGCTTAAATGAAAGATCTTACTCTCTGGCCCTCTGGGAGTCTTTGGCCAGTCTTTGGCACTCAACAACACACCATGCTGATATTAATAGATGCCAGGGCTCTGTTGTGGAGCGGGAACATCTCCTATTTATGTAGTGTTCATATTGAAGCAATTCCTGGAAGGTAAATTTACACGAAGAAGCAGTTCTGCAACTTTTGCCACTATCTTGCCCAATTCTGTGAAGGATCCATGCCTCCAACTTCAATGCTAGAATTTTTTCCAGAACTTTGCTGATTCTTTTTGTCCTGTCTCTAGTTTAATACATACCAACATTCTTCTTCTTACCTATTGACTGAGTTTGGACATCAAGAATGCAACAGTTGTATGTGAAGGGGAAACAAATGGATTCATAAACTTTCTGTGCAGTGAACAGCAACTACTTCTTCATTATCATTACAAGTGGATGTATAGCTTCTGAGAAAAACCAGGGAAATGAGGGACAGCCAAAGTCAGAGTGCCAGCAAGATGCAACATGATCTCCAACAGGTGCCAATTGCCAGTCAATTCCAAGAATTCAATATGAAAAAGAATATAAAACAACCAATTTGGAAAAAGAAGAGAGGAGGTATGTTATACAATTTTAGCTAAACTACTTTAGCCAAACCGCTTGAAGATGTCAACCTTCCCTAATAAACGTTAGAGTTCTAGAGACTCTTCTTGCTTCTTGGAAAAGGTAGTATTGATTGACTGGCTTTCTGTAACTTACCTAAACAGAATATCTGTTGGAGAAGTGTCCCCTGCTCTACCATTCCCTGTGTTCCAGGAAATAAAGAATCATATGGTAGGCCTAAATACTAGATACTTCAGAATCATATATCTTGAAAATAATATGTGCTATTGTATCTGTCTCTTAGAAAAATCAGCTGTGAAGTTTTCTTTAAACTATCTCTGGCTTTTTTTCAATATTTGCTGTTTGTGGAGACAGAAATGCATTATACCTGCCACAAAATCCAGACTCAGACAATCTAGAAAGATTTATGGTGTTCCATTTAAGGCAGCTATATTCATTTATCACAGTATCAATTTTCCAATGCACTGCTGTATATTTCTGCTGGCAGTGCTCCTTTTCTTTTACTTACCCCTCTAAAGGTATCCTCTGGAGATTTATTATAGTTCCAAAAGCGAAGCCCTGCAATACTTTCAATTTTATCAAAATAGATTGTGAGCAGATGATCTTCTCCAAAAGAGAAGGGAATGAGCCACATATGGTCATCCTCTACTGTGATATTAGTCCCATCTATTAACCTACAAAGAGAAAAATCCATTAGCTGCAAAAAAGGGAAAGCTTGCTTTTCTCATGAAAATCAGGTACTTTACCAGGTGTTAATTTTTTTCTAGATGCCACTTCCAGGTTCCAGGGCTTATTGTGCCCATGTGCATGCAATTAAAAAGCATAGTAAACATCAAAAATAATATGCAATTGTTGAATTAAAGACAGTGGGGGGAGAAAAAAAACTGTATTCCCTTTAGTTGGGTCCATTTGAGGAAAAACAGAAAAATCCTTAGTTTTTCCCTGTGTGAACAGGGGCAGGCAGAGGAAAGCTCAACTACCTTTGTGCCAAAATGGCCAAGGCAAAACTCTAAGGCCCAGACACAATATAACTTATTAATATAGTTCCATGCCTAAACTAGTGTATCTGGCACTCTGCAGTGTGTTACTATGCCAATGAGACTATACTGAATCTGACAAGGAGCTGGATAACCCAGAGAAGAGGCAGTTTGTTCACATCCTTCTTCATGTGCACAGTTGGGCACATTCCTATTTTTTTAAAAAGCTTTCTACCTGCATGACAATGTCTTTTCATAAGAGCACAGACTTCAGGCTGACTAGATAAAGTTAGTTCCATTATTAAGCAAAAAAAAAAGCCCAAATTTATTGTGGCCAAAAAGGTTCTTAAGCAAAAATGAAGTATGTTAAAAAAAAAAAAAAGGAGCAACAAAACAAAATAAAATCATTACACAGAGCAGAGAGAATATTAAGGGATATCATACTGGAAGCACAGAACAAATGTATCCCACTTACTAAGAAAGACATTAGAAAGAGGAAGGACTTGAAAAATCAAAGCCAGCCTGGCTCAGTGGCAGGGTAAAGAAAGTTATCACAAGCCATCTTTCAACAAAAGTCATGATCAAAAAACCCTAAACTGATAGGATCATAAACCCTGGAAGGCTAAAGGTGTTTGCACAGGCCAGAAAAGGATATGAAGGCTAGCAAGCAAAAGGTACCATAAATAAAACTCCTCAAATACATCAAGAGCAGAAAGCCTGCCAGAAATTCTGTAGGATCAACAGATGACTAGGCTGTAAAAGGAGCATTCAGAGAAGATAAGACACGAACAGAAAAGCTAAATGACTTCTCTGCATCTGGGTCCATCATGGTGGAGTCTGGAGAGACTCCACCACCAGAACCTCTTCATCACAGGGGATTTCATGGGAAGATTTCTTAGCTCTTGATGCCTACAGAAGAGATTTTCATACAAATAGGCAGAACAACTGAGGAACTATATACAAATAAGCTTGACATCCGTATTAGTCAGATTAGCAGAAATTACAAAGAACAGAGTTAGTGTACATGTAGATAAATACAAGATTCTAAGGAAGACTCAACAAAGACTTTGAAAAGAGAAGTCCTAATTCATAAACTTATTCACAAGACTACAAACATGCCAGAGGACAGGATTACAACTGAAAATACCCTTTAAAATCAAGATATGACTCAGAAACAACAGGATGCAGTTTCAATAACAACAAATGCCGAAACCTCTCCAGACCTATAGCCTATGATTTCTGTACTGCTACCATTTAGGAAGTACAAGTTAACTTGAGGAAGTATTCTTGTCAATAAATAAAACTTCATTGGAATTACCAAAAAAAATAAGCTGCAGAATTGCCAAAAGAATGGCACCCGTTTGTGCAATACCCTAATACATCCTCACCCTTTGCTAACTTGAAAATTTTCCTTGAAATTATCCAGAAATCCTGCATAAATATCACTGCATATGGATAGACAGATGCTACGGAACACCCACATTTCTGCCTGGGAAGTCCTTAGCAGAGACACCAACCAGGCATGTTATCATCTCCTAACTCAAATACCATCTTTTGGAAACATCTCATTCATGTTTCTACAACAAGCTGTTCCTGGGTAGCTTGTGAAATCCAAGAATGACCTGTGATGGTATGAAAATTGTGTTCGCGTTAACATGTGTTAACATAATAAAAGTTTATATAATTCTGTCACTTTATAAAGTTATATGTAAAATGCACCTAAAATTGATAAACTCCAAAACTGTTGGTGGAAACAACAGGTGTGAAGAAAAAAAACAAAAAAAAGCCCTGCAGAAAATGCTTGCACAATCCAACTCTTTTGCTACTTACTTTTCTAATGTTCTGGAATCTCCTGTATACTCTGGAAGATCATTTAAGTCTTGGGGTGAAGCAGAAATCTGTTCTGTACTTATTTTTAATGCGTGACCATTCTTCCCTATCACTTCAAGTCCTGTCAGTCCAAGGTAATGGGAGTCTCCCCAGGTCATGGTAAAATTCAGTTGCAGGCCTATATAAAAGAATATACGTTTATTATATCTATATACATACTTACTAGTTTGAAGTAAGGAGCCAATATAAGCATGCATGCAAGCCCCAACGATTAGCACGGTGAATTTTGTTTAGATTAAATAACTTTATACGCTGTATTTGGATACTTCCTAGTCTGCATGCCTACCTCCATGGAATAGCATAGTATCTTCTGTAAATCTGTGTTAGACCCCTTTAGTCGGCTACCAACATCTTGTTCACTTGTAACTATACAACCCCTGATCAAGCGTGTTATGAAGTGTCTCATTACATAGATTGTAGACTGACAGTAATTCAACAATACATTTAAGCAGTTACTTGACAGATTTTGTGATTATGCAGGCACAGAGAAGACCTATTAGTCTGAAGTCTATAATCTTTTGCCAGCTAAATGACTATATAGACTTGTATAAAACCAGTCTCTCATAAATCCATAAATTGTTAGAGAACACCACCTCATAGTTAAACCAAAAAACAAATTTGGTTTACTAATGTGTTGTGCTGGTTTTGGCTGGGGTAGAGTTAATTTTCTTCCTAGTAGCTAGTATGGGGCTGTGTTTTGGATTTAGCATGAGAATAATGTGATAACACACTGATGTTTTAGTTGTTGCCCAAAAAGGACTGTTGTGGTTTAACCCCAGCTGGCAACTAAGCCCCACACAGCCTCTCGCTCACTCTCCCCCGGTGGGATGAGGGACAGAGTGAGAAAACTCGTGGGTTGAGATAAAGACAGTTTAATAGGGAAAGCAAAAGCCGCGCACACAAGCAAAGCAAAACAAGGCATTCATTCACTCCTTCCCATCGGCGGGCAGGTGTTCAGCCATCCCCAGGAAAGCAGGGCTCCATCACGTGTAACGGTGACTGGGGAAGACAAACGCCATCACTCCAAACGTCCCCCCCTTCCTTCTTCTTCCCCCAGCTTTATATGCTGAGCATGACGCCATATGGTGTGGGATATCCCTTCGGTCACCTGGGGTCAGCTGTCCCGGCTGTGTCCCCTCCCAGCTTCTTGTGCCCCCCCAGCCTGCTCGCTGGTGGGGTGGGGTGAGGAGCAGAGAAGGCCTTGACTCTGTGTCAGCACTGCTCAGCAGTAAGGAAAACATCCCTGTGTTATCAACGCTGTTTCCAGCACAAATCCAAAACACAGCCCCATACTAGCTACTGTGAAGAAAATTAACTCTATCCCAGCCAAAACCAGCAGACGTGTTTAAGTTACTATCTTCACATCAGAACTGGACACATAGAAGTATTTTAATGGGACAGCATTAGTGAAAAGCAGCAATGTTGATTAGCCTGCATGTCCAGAAAATAAATAGGAAAGAAAAATTGGGCAGACAAAAGATTGTACGTGTATCTTCAGATGCACCTGTTTCATGCCTTACTGAAAAAATATAAATAGCATATACAGATATAACAAGTAATATTCCGATATGATCAGGTTCCATAAAAATCCATCACTGTAAATTAAAAATATCTTTCATTTCATACATTACAGAAGCCCAGAAATAATCAGGTTGGATAATGTCTAAAAAGCACCAGTAGTCATGATGCCCTGTAAAACAAACAAGCATTAAAGCTATTAAGCCATCCAGCCCAATTACCTATAAATAGCCATAGCAATTTACACGAGACTAAGTCTTGATATACACATAAATTCACTTGGGCGTAAGATCACTTTAGCATTTGCAAGGACACTAAGAAATAAATAGTTCTATTAGCTGACAAGTTTGGAGCTATGGCTACACTGATATTAGATGCTATTCCCAAGGCCATTGCTAAGACTAAACTTGCTTGGTGTACAACAATGCAAGAGTTCTCAGGCAAAACCAGAGTATATTTTCAAACAAAAGGGAAAAGATAGGGTGAAGCAGCTATCCACACAAGGTTTAATATTCACATCACCATGCCAATGCCTTCATAGAATTGCAGAGCGATGCAGCGTGGAAAGGACCTCTGGAGGTCTCTAGTCCAACTCCAAGCTCAGAGCATGTCCATTAGATCAGGTCTATCAGGACCTTATCCTGTGGAATTTCAAATGTCCCCATGGCTGGCAGATTTCAAAACCTCTCTCAACCTCTGTTCCAGTGTTTGACTGTTCTCAGGGTGAAAAAGATTTCCTAATATCCAGTTGGAAATTCTTGTCTTCTACCTTGCTGTTTCTGCTGCCTCTCAACCCAACCCTATGTGAATCCCTGAGAACGGCCTGGATCTGTCCTCTCTACGCCCCCCCGACAGCTATAGACAGCAAGAAGATCTCCCCTTCACCTTCTCTTCTCCAGGATGAACTAACCAACCCAGCTCTCTCATGCTTTTCTCACATGTCAGGTACTCCAGCTGCCTGACTGTCTTGGTCACCCTCCTCCACTGGACTCGCACTAGGATGTCAATTTTCTTCTTGTCCTAGAGAGCTCCTTACTTAACACCATACTCCAAATACAGTCTCACAAGTGTCGAATACAGGGAAAGAATCCCCTTCCTTGCCTTGCTGGCTGCACTCTTATTTTTACATCCCAGGAGGTAGTGGGCTGCCTTTACCGCAAGGCTGCACTGCTGACTCTTGTTCAACTTGTGGTCTTACAAGGACTTCAGGCCCTTCAGTGCAAAGCAGCTTTCTTAGCCAGCTGGCCCCCAGCCTGTCCTGTGGCATGGGTTATTACATCCCACACGCAGGCCTTTGCATTTGCCCTGAACTTCATGAGGTTACATTAGGTAACATCATGAAGTTATAATTTCTTCAGCCTGTTGAGGTCCCTCTGAAGAACAGCCTTGCCCTCCTGCATACCCACCATTCCCCTCTGTTTGGTATCATCCACAATGTTGCTGAGATTGCATTTTAACCCATCATCCAAGTTCTTTAAAAAAAATACATTAATCAGCATAGACTATAGTATTGATCCCTGAGGATCCCTCTAGTAACTAGCCACTAGCTGGACTTTGTACCAGTGATAATCATACTTTGAGGCACTATTTCTCCTTGACATGATGACTGGCAGCAGGATGAAAGAGATGAAAACTGTCCACAACAGGTCAAGGATACAAATCCTCAGTGACTCCATGCACAATTTGTTACCAGGAGTCCCAGATGAAAAAAGCAGTACTGATCCTAAGTTTTGCACAAATCCCAGTAATTTCCCAAAACAAGAAGCAAGAGGACTCTCACTCCACCCCACAGGGACCACCCCACAGCATGAGGAGAACAAGGAACAATATACACAGGCAGGACAAGGTACATAGAAATCATTGGCAAAAGTCAGGTTGTAGCTTCTAGTTGGTTTTTTGCTTTTGTGCAAGGTCATTTACAAAGATAGTTCCTTGTAGCAATTAATGGCAATTTTTTCCTGTGTAAGACACTAAATTGGAGTTTCTTTTGCATTTCATAAGACATGGAAAGCCTCCCTTAAATGCAACTAGCTTTCTCCAGCGCTTTCCCAGCAAGAACTCATGGGAATCAGGACCTCTTTGTCTGGTAGAGAAAAGTTAGCCCATCAGCTGATTAACAATATCTTGTCAGTATGACAGACTGCATCGGCTGAGCTCTGAACCACACCCTCAGTATCTTTTTCACCCACTTTGAGAAATGGGAGGAGGGAAAGGCACCTTAAGTTCACAGATATGAATTGATCATAGACACGCTCATAGATAAAGTTCATAGATCTAGATATAGTTCATAGGTCATAGATCACAGATCATAGGTATAGTTCACAGATATGTGGCTGAATAAGCCACAGCATTGTGTGTATTTTCAGAGAGCACATCACAGGTTGCTAAAGACTTTATGCCAAAGAACCCAATTTCTCTTGTGCTGGTCAAAGGACCAGGAACTGATACTGAAACTTCTGGGCCATCCAGAAGCTCTCTGGAAAATAATTTAAAGGCCCACAGAGAGATGTTTTGGTACAGGATAAAGAAATCAGGTACTTTAAGTATGGTTGTAACATTCTGGTCTAGCTTTGCTGTAGGGTTTTATTTGTCAATCTGATCTGAGAAATGCAGTCAGTCTACATAAATTCATGGGATTGGTAGAGAATTACTGGATAATGGACACAGGTATTACAAATCCCATTCAGGGACTAGGCAAATGGCTAGTGTTATTTTTCTGAGATTGAAAGCCAACTGTTACAATATAATGTTCTAAATGCTGTAGTAAACAAAGCTGCTGCCTTAAATATTCAATTACTCTTCTGTATTCCAGACCTGACATCCGTCACAAAGTTCTGTACAACTCCGACAAATCACATCCTCCTTGATAACGTTAGGGGGGAGGGTGGTTATGCAAGAAGTAAATGTAAGAACTTACATTTTCCAGTAAATACTCCTGATTCCTTGGGTATACATTCAGAGAGAGGGTCTGGCTCTTGAACCTAAAAAGTAAACCAACAGGTGCAATGAACATGCATATCATATATACATTACCGACATATTGTTTATAAAGCAGGGGGTTTTTGGTGGGGTTTTTTGTCTATTTCCTTTTTTTTTCTTTTTTTTTTTTTTTATGTCCAGCCTTTTGTATATCAATCTCCCCTTTGCCTCACCACCCAGGCTGTCCTGCAAATAATGGCAAACATAAACATGCCCCAAACTGTAGATCATATGGGTCCTTAGAAAGTCAAGACTATTAGGTTGGGGGTTTTTTGTTAGTGTATGTAGGAGTGTTAAATGGGAGACTCCCTAGTGTGGGCTACCTTTCTCAAAGAGGCTGAAATTCTTAAGTCACTCTTATTTACCTGCAGACTGCTATTAGCTAATGATAATATGCTGTATTTGCAACATGTTGCAAGTGTTGCAGAGACAAGAAGTCTGGAAGGAAGTTAAGACCTCAGAGAGTGCCACCACAATTTCTTCACAAGAATCAAGGGGCAGAACAAACAAGCAAACTTATCCAAAAGCTTGCATTTGTTCTTTGACAATACTAATAAATAATAGCCTATGCTGTTCAACATAGCAAACTAGAAAGTGAATGAACAGATGATAAAATTATTAGGGTAGTAAAGACAAAGGACAACCGCAAAGGGTTGAATATAAACTTCATTTCATTGAGTGAGTGTGATAAAATGGCTAATTATGTTCACTGTAGGTAAATGTAAAAATGCTTCACGTGAGGAAAACAATCCTAACTTTACACATACAGTATTGGGCTCCAAATAAAATAACAGCAGATTGGAATGACATCGTGGCATTATTATAAGTAGTTCTACAAAAACATCAGCTCAATCCTCATTAGTAGTCAAAAAGCTAAATAAGAAATTAAAAGTCAGTCCAGACTCATTCTCTATAGTTTCATTCATCATTAGAAATGGACTTCCTGTCATTCAGAATATATCAAATGGACCTATATTGTGCCTAAAAAAATAAAAGGCTTGTCAACACTTTTCTCCTACTGTTATATTAGATCTCTGCAGTATAACCACTGACATCCTGGATCTTATATGCGTGTGCTCCCAGACTGCAATAGTAGTAGCAAATGTCCTTGCGGTAATTAAGTAGGTGAAACTGAACAAGAGCTGTGCATTGAAATAAACACACATAGATAATCTACAGAAGATGGAAAAAAACCCTCCTATTGGGGGTACCTTTCCCACAAAACAGTGACTCTATCTTTGATGTCTGATGCCTTTTTCTCAGAACAACTTTAAAAGACCAGCCTGGGAATTGGAATTTACAACTCTACTGAGTATCAAAACCCACGGACGCAATGCTGGTTTTATAGAATGCTGAATAATACCCTTCCTTGCAGGCCATAAACCGTCTGTGCCAAGCCACCTTATCACCTCTTCTCTCCCTCTTCCTCCTTTCTTGGTTACTCAGATCTCTTCATTCCACTGGTGCCCACTATCTTTTCTTTCAGTTATGGTCTGATTTTCTACTATTTCAACTACTTCTGCTTGCGAACATTGTCCTACCTGTGTTCTTAGATCCTTATGGCTAGAACAAAATACCACCATAGTACAGGAGTTATTGGAAAAGCAATAAAAAGTAGAGAGTATTACCATGCTCCTACACCTCACCATACTGTATAGCACCTTCCATATGAGGAATAACTGAAGTAGGACTAACCATTCTGGAAAAGAGAGATTTAGAGGAGATTGTAACAGAGTGGCATAAATCTTTTGAGTGGCTTGAAGAAGGGAATAGGGAATAATTGTTTAGTTTCTTCCAACACAAAAACTAGGGGACAGTAAATGAACCTAGAGACAGACAGAAATAGGTTCTTCGTGCTATGCAAGTTAAGGTGGGAAACTTACCACTGAGCATTGTAAGTTGTAAAAGTGCACATGGGTTCAAAGAGCTAGTGGATCAATTAACACAACAAAAATCCGTGGCATGATACTAAACATAAAGGTTAAGTCAAAAAGTCCTTGTAAGACAAATTTCTAAGGGCTGGATGAGTGTTTCAGAGAAACATCACTGCATGTTTGCTTTATTCTTACATTCTCCCTAGGCATCCACTATTGGCCGCAGTCAGAGTTGGGTCAAGTGCACTAGTTACAGGTCTGACCTGCTATAAAAGTTGACATGTTAAGGATTACTGAATTCATGGGAAAGACAGATGACCATGGATAATATTGACAAGAAAGTAAGACGCTTCCGTAAGAGCTTTTGAAAAGTTCTGTAATCAGTGCAGTAAAACACTGTTTCATCCACTGAACATGCTAACAGGAAAAAAGGGTGAATGATCAACAGGTAGGGACTGGTCAAACCCAATAGTAGTCTGAATGACAACGTTATGCTGGGGAAGACAAATCATCAGTAGAACTGTATCATTCTGAAAGCATAAGCATCCATCTACAAAATCTTGATGGTACCAGCAAATACAGAATGACAGGGAGATCAGTGGCTCAGTCACAATAGCTTTTGTTGTTCCATTGCTGATACAGCATGTTTCAGAGTTAGAAAAGGAGCATGAAGAGCATCACAGATGAAAATAAAAGGCAGAGGCTCTGAGTAAGGACTAGACAGTCCAGGTCTAGGCTTCTGTAATGGAAGAGGTCCTGGTGAATTCTCACAATAAACAAGTGATCAAGAAAAGAAGGGTGAACTTCAATTGTGTTCATGAAATCCTGCACTGCATAAGGTGTCTGAACAGTTTAAGACACCGCAAGCAAAGATGGGACCAAAGTTACTGTTGCCAGTGTTAACTAGCGCTGGAGAAGTCAAAGAGTTAGAGTCACTGACTCATGATCTTAATAGCAAGATCAAATTCCAATGTCATGACATTTCCCTTTGTCTTATAAGCCACCAGGAGAAGAGGACAAGACAGAACAGGAAGGCTTGACAACAGCACAAGGCTCATTAGGAACCATATATCACTGGGAGCACTTTAGCTGAACCAGCTGGAATTTGGATCGATTCAGCTTTGGATCTCTTCACAGACTTACAACTAAGAGTGTGTCCCTTAGAAAAAGATATCCTCATTGAAGCAACAGTAGGTGCTCATGAAGATTCTAAGAAGGTAGAAGATTTAATGGAAATCAGGTCAAAGACTGCCCCACACCACCTTGAGCAGAAAATCTTGCAGGATCTTTGCTCAGATACTGGACTGTTGGGCTGGAGTGGTATGAGGCAAGACTCCAGTGCTTGAAAATATGGCCTTCCTCCAAGTAGTAAAATACCTACTGTATGGAATAGCAAAGGGGGGTTTTTATGCTGCAAAATGCACACAGACCTGTGGAGATGCTAGTCAAAAAAGGAAAGAGGAAAAAACAAGGGGACAGTTGAGAGGGGGAGATCCTTCTCACATAAGATACTTAATTTGTGGAGGAAGAAACAAGCAAAAGTAGACTCTGTGTGGAAAATATGGAAATATCTTTGTTTTGGAGTGACAGGGAGCACGGCTACTCATTACAAGAATAACCGTATGGTAAAAATCACTGACAGTGGCATAAACCTTCAGGAGTAACTAAATCAAAAAGAACTCCCTCTAATCTCTGTCCAAGTAAGTAAAGAAAAATAAACATATACAATGCAGTATAGCCTTCCTTGTAGTCTTATTAATTAATCAGGGAAACCAAAATTTGGAGGACCTTTTGGGCTTAAAAAAATCACATAAATTATTGAGCTGGTGAAAAAAAAATCTTCAAAATAGACAGATAGCTGTATTAATTCTTCTGCAGAGCTTTACTCCATCGTGGAAATCAGTGTCTCCTACTTCCATGCCATGTTTCAGAAAGACATTTATAGAGAGTTCTGAACATAGAGGCCCCTACCTGTTGACCCTCTGTTCTTAATCCCGCTTGTGTAAAAGGTCTTTCATCTCCCTCCCTATCAGCAGTTGTTGGCCTCTTTAGCTCTTCCTCGTATCTCAAAGAGCTGGCATTTTCCATTTCTCCATCATATGTCTCATCATAGCAGTATATAGCTTCAAGAATATCATCATCGGTAGTGAACAATATAGTATCCCCAAAGTGCTCTGGAGCTGAAGGCAACATACAGAATTAAATGGAGAAACCATACAAAAGAATACATAGAGTGATAAAAACTATTTTCGGTCCTTCTTTACATTTAATTTGCAGTAGTGTTAAAAGATAATATATGGTAAATTGATACTTACTACTAATATAATTAGTATGTTCATTCTCACACTTACACTGCACAGCAGAAAAACCTAGAGAACTCAGTCAAATTTCAAATACATACAAAAGAAAATGGAAAAAAGCTTCTCCATCACTTTTTCCAAAAGACCATATCTGTGAAAACAAGTAAAAATCTGCAACTTTTAAATGTCTAGTGACTATCTGATGTTATTGAAATATGGTCTTGTTGGTAAGACATCATTAAGAATAGAGATTAGCTCTATATGCTACTAAAATTCACAATATCATTGAAGAATGCATTAGTGGGTTTTGCATTACGTTTTGAAATTAAAAGGACTAAATACTATACAAAGTGCCAGCTTGCTTTGAAGTGGAATGTGATAACAAACAAGCTAAATGTATTTGTTTGTATTGTACTGCTGTTTCCACAAAGAAAATAAGAAATGATAGCATACCTCCAGTCAAGGTTCCTGAAGCTTTGGCAATCACTTTTTCCAAAAGACCATATCTGTGAAAACAAGTAAAAATCTGCAACTTTTAAATGTCTAGTGACTATCTGATGTTATTGAAATATGGTCTTGTTGGTAAGACATCATTAAGAATAGAGATTAGCTCTATATGCTACTAAAATTCACAATATCATTGAAGAATGCATTAGTGGGTTTTGCATTACGTTTTGAAATTAAAAGGACTAAATACTATACAAAGTGCCAGCTTGCTTTGAAGTGGAATGTGATAACAAACAAGCTAAATGTATTTGTTTGTATTGTACTGCTGTTTCCACAAAGAAAATAAGAAATGATAGCATACCTCCAGTCAAGGTTCCTGAAGAGTGTATGCGAGATTTATTATAATTCCAAATCCTAATCATAGCTACTTGACAGGAATTCACAAAGTCAATAAAGATAAAGTGAGGTTTTCCAGGGGTAAACGGTGCTAGCCAGAGATGCATATCATCCTGGGTCCGATTTACCCCATCAATTAAGTTGCTTATTATTCTGGGATCGTTGCCATAAGCTGGTAGAATATTTATATCAGGTGGTTCAGCTGTTATTTTTGAAATCTGAACAGGCTCTCCTTTAGAACTGAAAACTTCAATTCCATTAAGACCAACATAATGTCTGTCTCCCCATGTTGTTTGAATGTCTATCACTAAGTGCTGCCCATAAGGTAAAACAGGAATTTTAAAATCATTTCCATCATGTGCCTCTACAGAATTTTCTTTTTCTTGCTTTTTTGGTAGTGTTTGCAGTCCCTCTTTTCTCATTTGCTGATACTCTCCAGGACGGTTGATTTTCTGTTGATGGAGAAACTCATCAAAGATATCCCCTTGAAAATCCATGTTAGAGATTCGGCCACGATGGGAATAATTAAACTTAACCAAAGAGTTCCACGACTCCTGCAGAGTGTGTTCTTGTTCGTTGTGCCACTTTGCTCTAGAGGTTGCTATGTCCTTGATAGAAAAGTCTTCATCTGAAAACAACATTACACAGGCATTTAATGCATAAACAGGACTGGAAGCAAATCACTACAAAACGGACTTTCCAGAATTATGCTGGTCATATTCATGTTCCCTTACTGTGAAATTCTGTTATACTAGCACTTTTATATTGCCTGTCTATTATGAAGGCTACATGTCCCAATTTCCCTTCCCCATTCAGACATAACAAAAACAATCACTTCTAAATATTGAAGAGCAGAGCACATGCCAAGATACAAAAATGCAACTAAGTTTGAGACGGCGAATTCTTGCCTCAATACTTACAGAAATTGGGATTTGGCCCAGTGATACTTATTGTGTGGCTGTCACAACAGTTGAAATAATCTGTCTGCATTTCTGCAGATCTTTCATACAGTTGGAAATGGCTGAACTGGCTAAGTTTCTAGACCATTACAGAGAAAAGCTGGTGCTCCCTGTCAAAATCAGCCACGCGTATTTAAAGAAAAGTGGTGAGAAAAGAAGTAGGTTCAGCATACAAGGAGCGTTGCATTCTATGCAGGTAATGTACAAACACTTTTCTCACTTTTCAGCAAGTATGAGATGTAGAAGGGGATGACATGACAAAGTATCTAATGGGAACGCAGCGGGGGCGACAAATTAGAGGGGCACAGTGGGAGCAAACACGCTCTCCTTGTGACTGCACTGAGGAGCTGCTTAATTTCCATCTCTAAACAATTAAGAGCAGAAAATATCAAAGATTTTCAATAAAGCTGTCACATATGTATTTTCTTCAAATAAATGAAGAAAAGCAAGTGGAGTACTAAAAAATTACAGGCCCATGGGCTAGATTTTACTTCTGTACAATGTCCTTGAGTGCATACTAAAACAAATGGTTATCAAGAATAAATGCCAATTGCAACAAAATGCAAAGTAATGTTTTCCCAAAAGACTGCTCAAGACTAACTTTGAACTTTGTTTTTGGAAACACTGGGAAAGAAGCAATGTTCCTAATCTATCTATGGCCAATAACCATTTACTCTGGGGACAAGTGAGATAAAAATAAGAATTTTAAAGCAGATGGGAAACTACCTGAAAGAGGGTTGTCTTCCAGAATGAAAGGCTGGAGACCAACCTGGCCCCTCCTCCCCACTCCACAAGGGAAATACAGATAGGAAGCAAAAGGTATGTATTCCAGAGAACATCAGTCATTTGTAAGTCACTTTCTTGTTCAAACCATTGTCCATATGGATACACATGGGGTGGGTGATCCTAAACAGTACTTCCCAGAGTTTCACAATTTACGTGAAGAAGATACTGTATATATATTTACCACTTTAAAATGTCAAAGCTTGAAAATTTCAGGATGAGCATGTACAGAAGAGTATTTGACACCCATTGGCTTTCCTTGTTTTGGAGGCTTTTTCCCTTTCTTTCTTTTAACTTTTTTTTTAATGTAAAGTACTTCAAGCAGTACAGAGATTACAACTCTGAAGCACTTCTACAGCAGTTCAACAGGAGTGATTTTCAATGGGAGGTTAAAAGGTTTGTTAGCTACATTAAGGAATGACAACAGGAGAAGCAGAGCTCTGAAAGGAAAGCCGAGAATAGCCCGAAAGCAGAGGTCAATGGCTGAAGGCTTACAGGGTTTGGCGGTTTTTTTTAGAATCTATAATTTATTATTTTTATTAGAGCCATGTGAACAATAAACTCGGCATGTAGATAAGAGTATCCCACTTGCAGATGTTACAGATGCTTCTCAGCCTTCTGCATGCCTGAGAAGGTTGTATGATGGATGCTGTCCTAGAGTCCAGGAATAATGACACCTCAAACGTGCATCTCCCCTGTGGGTTTTGGAGGGGTGTCTTGAATCACCAAGTCCCTTGTCCTGCTTCTACTGGCAACGCACACCATACAATTCCTCTCAAAACTTTAGTAAACCATATTTTGGGGCAACACTAGCTTGAAAAAAACCACCCTTCTTCTCCCTCTGTTGTGCTATCTCATTTTTACTCCCTGCAGTTATAAATAGCAATCATATTTCCATGCTGCAATCACACGCTTCATTTCCCAAATCATTCTAAAAGCTCTCTTCTGTATCTGTTCCACTTCGTAATCAGCTTTCCTGAAAATGGATGATCAGAACTGCAGTTTTCCAACTGACGTCTCACGAGTGCCTGTGTTGAGATATTAACATCTCCCTAACTAACAGAAATGCCTCTGCTGATACCTCCTCAGAGTGCATTGCTATAATCACGCCTGCGTCACACAAGCATTTCATAGTAAATCTGTTATAAACTACTCAACCAAGATCCTTCTCTTCCTCGGTCATTTGCAATTGATGATTACTCAGCTTACAACTTAATTTTTTGTTATTAGTCCCCAAATGACCTTGCAAGCAGTACTATTGAATTGCATTCCATTGCTATTACTCCAGTCCTCAAGTTCATCTTTCTGCACAGTTCTTCAATCTTCTTAACTCATAATACCCCAAATTATATGTTACTTGCAAATTTTACCAGCATACTTCCATCATTTCCTTTGCACATTAAACCAGTTATCAAAGAAAAATTCTACGTTTTTAAAGCAACATTAACTCGAGCCAAGTATGCATGTACGTGCTATTTCTAATTTCTGCTGTTCTCGTTATTCTTCATTTAATGACTGAAGACGTGCTGTGACATTGCATATGAACTTGGGCTGCCTCCCCTTTGTCACATACTGCTATTGGGAAACTGCAGTTCCCCTAGCCCCGTACCAATTAAAATTCACCACTCTTAGGGAAACACTTAAAACTGTTTCCCTGTTGTTAATGCTCACTCAGCTCCACTTTGAAGATGGCTTTACCCTGCACAGTGCAGTACAGAGAGAACAAAAGCTGGTAGACGGTGTACAATTTTCCCAGGGACAAACACATATTGGGAGTTTTAAGCACCAGATGACAAAACCTGCTCTGAGCAAAATTAGAGGACATTATAATTATCATATCATGATAACCCTCATCTTATAGATTACATTAAAACTCCTAAAATTGTTACCATTTTTACAACTGAACATAAATTACTAAGGTGGGATTTATTTACAGTTTCCATAACGTTGACAAGTTTTTAATCTAACAGAGATACTGTAAAATGTGTGAAACAGCAAACGGGCTGTGGTGAGTGGGTGAGTGAAGGGATGATGGCAGTTATTCCAACTACTTCCGTACTTTTTTCTTCTTTGAGGTATAATTTCAGAGATACTTACAAAATTGCTGTTTTCTCCACGGAGAGGCAGAGAAGGAAAAAGTCAGACATTCTAAGTTTAGAAAGAACCACTTTCTTCAGCTTTGTCCGAAAACTTCATGCAATACCTGCTGTAGATTTGAACTGGCATTCCCGCATTTAGGCATACTTCCTGTCCCTCATGACCGTCACTTTAATGTAAACACCCAAATACAATTCACAGCAAGCTACACTTTCATGCAAATTGTTCTGATGGTTAATTTTACTAAATCACACCCAAAATTTCAATTCGTATTTTTGTAACCTCTTCTTCCCATTCTCTGGGCCTTGTTGTCCTTGTTCTGCCAGACTCTCTTTATTTGAGACAAGTTACTGAATGCTGAAGAATTACAGAATGCCAGAGAAGAACTTCAGAACTTGCCCCATTCTCACATTCTTCCCTGGGGACTGTTGGTTACTGCCAGAGGCAGAACACAACTACACAAATCTGGATCCCCCACCTCCAACAGGATCCAGGCAAACTAAAAAACATTTGGAGAAGGATGACAAGGATAATCAAAAGCATGGACCAGGTAACAGCTAAATTTACTAGAAAACTCTTCATAAATGAGCAGAGATGTCTGAGGGAGAGGTTTGAAAGAGGTATGTGATGTCATGAGCCGAGAAGGGAAAATAAGGGCAGTTTTCCATTCACTCTGAATAAATGTATTCAGCATATATTCTCACTGAGAAAGACACAAACCTGCTACACAAATAAACTCTGTAAATTTACTCACTACCTTAAGGTCACACTCTCCTTAATCTTTTTGCAGATTTTCACTGATATTAGCAAGCATTTGCTGTCTGCAGAACTGTCAATTTTTAGAATACAATTTACCGAAATTTAGTCTTCAGTCTCCTCCAAATAAAAACACCAGCTCAGAAGGTAAATTTTTCAGAAAAAGAGCATTTCACATCAGGTGTAGGACAAGGGGAGAGACTCTGAGCATTGTCGTAGAGAATAAGAAAAACTGAATACTGCAAGCATCACAAACAAAATCCCACTGTCTATACCTCTGTGAATCTCAAGAAGTCCCTTCCAACCTAAATGATTCTGTGCTTCTGCAAAATGGAGAACATGCCAGCGCTTGCACTAAGGTTGCTGTTGTGAGCTCTTACCTTTGAGTGCGGAATCATCTTCTCTGAGATTTATAGTGTTTAAACCCTCCTTTTTTACATATCTGACACTCCTCCTTCCACTTGTAGGGTACTGTAAGCTGCAGCAATTTTTGTTAGAAAGTTGCTCCGAAATGTCCAAGCCCACACCACCATCCTTTCTGGTTAGCATTTGTGGTCTCTCATCTCCATTTGCATTTCTACTACTGGATCTTCCCAGCTCATTTCTCTGACATTTGACATCCTCATTAGTCAGATCTGAAAAGATTTTCATGATTCCATCTGACTGTGTTTGAAATTTCAAGCCTACACAATGTTCTGTAGCAAGCCAGGGAGGCTTCTGCTTACTGGAAGTAACTTGATTATTCTCTGTTTCTTGGGAAGATGACTGTAACCAAGAAGGAATTGCACCTGTAGAATCAGACAATTTTCTTCCTGTTAGCTTTTCCATTTGCTCACTCAAAGTAAGTTCATCATCAGATTGAACATGCTCTGTAACTGCTTGTACTGTTGCATTCTCTTTGGCATCTTTTATACAAACTTGAGATGGTAACACTTTTAGATCATCCTCTAACTCAGGCAAATTTTTCTTTGTAAAGCTGACTGAGTTCATCTTATGCTCAAGAAGATTTTCTTCTGGCAGAGAGTTCCAGTTTAGTGAAGTACTGTTTGACTGTAAGCATTTAAAATGTAGGTCTGGTTTCTTCTCTGTGACTGCAGGTGCATTTACTTCTTTCCTTTCATTTGAAAAATATGCAGCGATACCTTGTTTGTGATCTGTAAGGTCAATTGTAGTGCTATGGTCAGTGAGGAGATCTCCAGAGGCTCTCTCTAATTCACCATCAAATACAAGGTTCTCATCAACATATAACTTCACCTTCTTTGCTCCAACACCAAGGTCCTACAAAAAGAAAAGTATGAAGATTTCAATTAAGCTGTTTAAGCATTAGATATCACTGTTCTGGAACACTGACATTTGAACACTTAATCAATAAACAGATGAAAACATTAAAACCCCGTATCAGTAACATGCTTTTGACTACTTTTTAATCAAAAGCTCAAACAACTGAAAAATACTGTGGAATATTTAAGATTTTATTTAAAAGGACTAAAAACACTGCTAGACACTACTATGAAACATTTTGGCTGACAAGGCTTTAGAAGAGCTTGAGCGAAGAAGCCTAGATTAAGTATAATTATATTTGATCAGAACATAAATTCCAGAGGCACATTTTGCTTCAGCATCCTTAAGATTCACCACATTCATGACATGTTCCACAGTGAACAACCACCCAGATCAAAGCCACTAGAGTTATAAAGAGTTATAGAAATACAGGGCTGGAAAGGACATTAAAAAAAATCATCCACCTTCCACTGAAGAACGTAAAATAACCTATACCATTGTGAAGAAAACTGTTTTTAACAATTTTCAAATAATCTGCCTTGATGGCTTCTTCCAACACTTAACTAGCCTTTTAAATAGAAGGCCTTTATCTCAGACACAACTCTGCCACTCACAACTTTATCTCTATGTTCTCCTTTTCTGTGGCACCCACTAAAACACGTTTTTTTTCATTCCATTGAAGTTGGAACTAATGTTCTTTCTATTCTCTCTATCATTTCCATCTAACTGTTTCTCCCTCTTAACAAAAATACTGATATCTTCAAAGAAAATACAGAAGATGAGACAAAATCCATCTCCTTTCCGCCCTCTAAATTTTGGTCACATGTCCATCATGTGGAGTCTTTAAAGACTCTCTGTTCTTCCCTTATTTTCACAGAAACTGAGAAGATTTTCATGAAAGTAAGAAGCTTCAGTTTCATCCCTCTTGCTCATCTCCTGGCTGTCATTTTTCTTTGAATACAGATTTAAATTTTCCTGCTCCCAGCCTAAACCAGTTACTCCTTCACCTTCAAGTACAAGTGTCTCCAGTTCTTCACTCCTGCATACACTCTTTACAGCTTACAAGTCTTTATAGCTTCCATTCTACTGCTTTCCAAATAATTATACGTATGAGGCGAAAAATGTAACATGGACCTACACGGGGAAAAGCAGAAGATGCAGCCATAGCAGGAAAGCTACAGTTGAGGGAGGGGAGTAGCTGTAGGAATGTGAGACACAGTCCTGATACATTCCTGATAGAAAAAGATAACCTTCACTAGCTTCTCAGAGAACAGCTGTAAACCCAGTTTAATTGGCCATTATGTCATGGCTGCCTGTGTTACTCCTAGAGTATCATAAAGCGCTATCTGTCTGTACTGATGCATTTGGCCATAAAACGTGATATTTTTTCCCCTTGAACAAGGATACTGCTAGATTAATCTTACTGGAGATCAAAACACTTTAATAATTATATATATTAAAAAATTTAATGTATATATTAAAAACATGGCTTTGCCTGAAATTATGATGGGGAAGAGCAAGACTATCAGGATGCCCCAGTAATGTTATTTTTTGAATCTTTGTATGTCTGGACTGTTAATGTCTCCCTTAAATGCTAGAGATACTGAATATTCACAGTTGAATTTGGGATAACTGCAACATTTCTACATAATATCCTAGCCTTTACTGCTGTTATGAATACTCAAACCTTAGTTCTGTTTTTACCTGGGAACAGATATAAACTGCATGAAACCACAGAAATATACACATGTATATTTTGAAAAGTATTTGTCAATTTCATCTTTTTAAATTAAAATCACCAACCTCTTAAGAACAAAATGTTTTTAAATAAATCCCACTCTACCCACCAGTACTGGAGGAGGACAGGTAGACAGAGAAGACATTACAAAATGAGATGGTAGAGCTTATTCTCCCTAAAAGAGGGACAGTCAAACACAGAAAAGGGACAGTCACTTCAAAATTACTATTCCAGTCAGTGAGAAATGACTTCCTTTCTCTGAAGTTTAGGAGTGTCTGGGATAGATATCATAGGAAGCCTCCCCAGAAGTGGTGTCTGGAATGTATCAAGATGAACCAACCAAAGGTACAGATATTTCTAAGACAACAGACTGAACTGGGGCAGGCTTAATAACAGCTGATAGCTCAAAAGAATCATCTATTCATGAAGAACCAGTAAAAGAGCTAATGAAAATCTCTTGCATCAAAATTCTAAGCAGACTGAGGCTCAGGCAGGAAAAATATGAACAGATTTCAGGGACTCCAAGAACAAACATGTGCAGGCACAAGACTAAGAACTGCTCTTTTTCATTCCCTCCTACCCCCCTTCTAAGCTTCCAGTTGCTTAATAATCAGATGTGGTGGGAAAGGTTGACAGAATGGTTAGCTTCTCCTAGTACCACTGCTTAACCCTCCTCGAGCACGAGGAGGTTGGAGAAATGCCTTCCTCATGAGTAATTCCATCAAGAAGCCATCCTGTAAACAAACACTCAGTACTTCATCCAAGGCAGGTTTTTTTCCTCCAAGAAGAGTAATTAGAATAGCACAATGTCTCAGAACAAGCAAGTAGGTATGATCGACGTCAGAGAGAAAAAACTGAAAGATTCTGGGAAAATAGTTCTATGGTTTCTCTTGATGTTCCTTCCCAGCTTGCCCCTTCAGCCCTCATAGAGCGCCTGCTGGGATAGTGCTTTTCAATGAAGCAACAGGGATGGTATTTCTGGCCATTTCAGTGATATTTGTGCACAAAGGACAAAGCTTAAAACCAGAGGCATTTTTCTGCGAATTACACCTGGACAGAGGACTTGAAGTTGTCTCTGCCTGTCTTCTCACAGAAGAGTGAAAAAGAAGGAGCAACAGAAAAGAAGTCAAGAACTAAAAGAACAAAGTTTTTCTACAAACCTAACTCTGCTGGAACAAAACTGCTGCATCCTTACAGACACTGCACCCCAGTGGGAGTCCAACACTGAAAAAAATCTCCAACTCAAGAGAATGGACGTGAACATACACAGAGGAGGAACACGCATATGGGCAATCGCTTGAAGGAGAAAATGATCCAATTGGAGAGCAACTAAGACATACATGCTTTTAAGTATTAATTCCATTCACAGATTTGTGAAGACAAACAACAGACATCATATTGGATCTTACGAAAGAGTTTTAATAACATCAAGTAACGATGCAATTTCAAGGCTGTAGCAAGTATTTACAAAATGCTTGAATATTTCAGACAAACTTGAAAAGAACTGCCTGCCCTCACTTACACTTTATCTGTCCTTGCAGACTAAAAATGACCTCCTTTTTTGCAGACCTCATCTGAAGTAAATAAAGGCAAGATGAAGCATTCTGAGACCTTCCTTGTAATACAATGAATCAAGGAATCTATGACAATGATGTAATCTGACTTTTACAGCTTCCTTCAGATATATTTTTTCTAGTTCCAGACTCAAGTTCTAAAACTCAAACATTTTCAACAATCCACAAGTACTGGCCTGAATTAATTTTTTGTCTGTTTTTTGAAGAAGTACTTGGGTACCTCCCACTTACATGGTTTTTGAGGGAAAGAAGGAGGTTAGAATGATTACCAAAAAAATGACACGGAAATCTGGCTCTAGATTTACATTACCAGGAAGAAAATGGTTAGCTAATTATATCTTGGGGTTTTATACTTCTCAGACAAAACTTCCTCATGACAAATTACAGAATTAGGCAGAACTACTTTGTATTATTCTTTTATCTTAAGAATAATGAGACATTTCTTTAGACAGCGTAGACGGCTGCACTGCCACCAAAATCCATGGGATTATACTCCTAATGGATTTTACAGCTTGCCTCATAGCAGTTTATTAAAAAAACAGTGCCTTGAAACACAGAAATACATTTATGTGTATTTCCTGCATTATATCCAATAGGTTTGGTAACAAATTACCTCCAAAACCAGCAGTCCCTTTTGCACTCTCTAATGATGACAGAACATTCTGTAGCCCACATTGTAATAGAAAAAGCTATTAGAATTCCAGAAAATAAATATAAATCATGTGATAGTAAATTCGTTTAAGCTGTCCCTTCCATGGCCATTTCCACAGTATAAATTACCATATGTGCTTATATAAGAACATGGATGAGAGCAAAACCAGAGGGATAAAGCCTCTTATTTATAATCCAGGACAGCAAATCCTTTTTGATCCAGTACCTGGGATTTTTTTCTTAACATTGCAGCGTACAAACAAGAATAATTTCCATGGTGACATTCAAACACACAAACAAGAGACCATCTGCCATGAGATGTCTCTCTTGTAACACTATATTACTTGTTTTATTATGAACACACAGTTAGTATACTTCTTAATTAAAGTGAAAAAAACAAAATTGAGCAACAGTCAGCCTATTTATACCTATATACATGAGAAAACACATATTTAAACACGTATTTATTTATATTGTGATAAAACAACTAGAAGTCCTGAATATTAAGATGCACTTACCTTTGTATAGGATTAACTGGCAGAATATGCAAGCCTTTTATTAGGTCTTTAGAGATCTTTAATAACTTTGAAAGAAAATGCTAATTGTGCCTATGAAAATGTTAACACTTACATTGCTACCACTTACAATTAAGACAAAAGCAAATTTCACAGTAGACACGGACCCCTCCTAGCTCCCTATGTCATTAGAGAAAATGGTATCTACTTTTATTTCATACTTTTGGAAAGAAGACCAAACTGAGTTTCCCTAGGCAAGGTAGAGCATGCATACAGAGGAGTTGAGAAAAGACTACTTACACAGGGAGTTGTTGTGTTGTAATTCCAAATCTTGATCTTGGATATACCAAAGTCATGTGACCGGGTGGGATTGCGGATAACAAAGTAAAGTTGGATGGGCGGATGGAAAGGGCACATCCAAAGGAAGCTTTCCTTCGCAGTCTAAAAACACATACAAGCAGACTGTCACTAATACTCTTTCTCCTAAAGCAGCGTATTTTAATTCACTCACCACCCCACAGAGAAATATACATTGGTTAGAAAAGTAACCATTTAATAAAATCTGGTATGTTAAGAGCAAAACCTTAACCTCATTTCCAAACAGTAAATCTGACTCTCCTGCCTCTAAGACAGCTCACAACAACCTGACAATTAGATAAAGGTCAGCTGCTTGCTGTCCCGGTAAGACATCTGCGTGCTCACAAATGACAGGCAGTCTGCCATGCTTTGTAACTGCAGGGTCAAAGCAAGCCCAGTTTATTTTAATCAAATTAATCAGCTTTGCAGGCACTAGAGGGGATCACTGAGCACAATAGACACCATATAATCATTTTACAATTTCTTAAAGTGCTTACACTTCTGTTTGCCCTCTAAAGAGGGCAATCTTACAGAATTTTATTTCACTGCCTCTATTTTAATCAGGCTTTGCAGACAACTAATTTCACTTACAGATCTATTCCTTAGAGCTATATATAGGACTCTACACTTGAAATTTTATAAGAAACTCCCAACATGAAATCTACAGACAACTGACAATCAAGACATTTTAAAGTACCAAAGAATGCCTAATTCTGGACATTGTTCAGAACTGCTACCTCTACATGTTCAGAAATGGAGGAAAAGGATGTGTGGCAGCTCAGGAAGAAGCAAGGAGCAAAGAGTTTCAAAATCAAAATGTTGAATATTAATATACTTAATGTCAAATGTTACCCCAAAACAGAGATGAACAAGGGCACAAAGTAAATATACATGCAGACAACATTTCAGTGATCTGAGATTAGCAGATAAATTAGTTATCCTTTCTATTTTCAAGGATACACAGTACATGTAGTCACACAGTAGGTACACAAAGTCAGTATTTTTCCACATCCTTTCACTTTGAACTGAGTCTTCCAGTTTTTTCTGAAGACAGTAACTACAAAACTTTCCTATCAAGTAATTTAGATGTGTGCCTAATGATGGTTAAGGACAGAGCTCTGCCAGTCCTTACCATCATGAATAGATCCATTTCTCAGGGTGGTCATCTACATATACCAAGCTCTGATGGTTCATAATGTCTCTGCCCCAGCGGCCTCTCAAAAAGCTTTGAGAGACTGTTGTTGCTTTGAATGTCAGTTTTGGGCATAAACAGCCATAAGAGTGCCAGACAGGTTTAATCCTTTCTATATAAAAAAAGAAAGAAGCCTTTTAACATCAAAGAAATGAAGGATAGTCCTCAAACCAGTGTGAACCCAATTCCAGGATCAACTTCAAAGCTAGATCATGTTACTCAAGTCATACTATATGAATGAGAATGATTAAAAAATCATTTCCTAACAGCAGACAACATTTGATGAGTGATCCACCTCCAGACCTCTCAAGTCAGGACCTGATGCCCTAGAAATCAATAGGTTCTGCTGTGTACTGAGATAGCGCCAGAGGTGCCTTCACAGGACGGCACAGATTCAGCACCAGAATGGACTCTGGAGAGACCTGTTCATGCTTCTCACTAGTTTCTCTGTAAAGTTACACATGATCTTCCAAACAATAGAAGGCGTATCAGGGCCAGTCTGAGTATTGTGTCTTGAGTGAGAGGCAGTGTAAAGATCATTTTATCAGTGGAAGTAACTGTTCAGGACTGAGGATACACAAACTCACAGGTGTTACAGTCTCTGTCAGCATGTCAAAGATCTGACACCAGAAATTGAAGGCACCTTAATGAATCCATGCCAAAACTCACAAGACTGTGGAGGACTCTCATGTTTTATCACTAAGAGTGATGGTGATGCCTTTGCCTTCACGTGAGGTACTTGAGTCTGGAGTACAGTCTTTGCAACTAGCACTGAAAAATCTAGTCCAGAAGTTCTTTGCACCACCAGGGTGAACCTGATATGTCAGGAGTAGGAATTACATTTGAACTGGATCAAGGAAAAAACGTGAGAGTGGGAACCTTTGGTCTTAGATTTTGTGGGAGACTGGCCCAAGACACTGCTTTGTGTGGGCACTGAAGGAATACCTGATGGAGAGTAAAGGAAGGCTTGAGCACTGTGGAGAGGAATGACATGGGTCTGAGGGTTCACCATTGTGAAGAAATACCTTTGTTAGATATTTCTAGAATTACAGTTACCTGTCCTTGTTATTCTGAGGTTTAAAAGACATATATATGCATATAAGAATCAAAAAGGTTTACAAAAAACAATGTCAATGAAATGCCTAATCTATGTCTTATTAAGCATTATATCCCATCAGGCACTACTTCCTTAGTTAAGAGCACCTGATGTTCTGCCAGGCATTTTTTTGTTTTACAGCATATCATGAAGTACAAGGGAGGAAGCAATTTAACTGTTCTTCTTAAACGTCTGCAAGGGTAATAAATAAACTAATAAATAAATAAAATCCCTGATCTTCAATAACAGTATGTCTATTCTCAAAGACAAATGTACACCTAAGTGACCAAAGATGGAAGTGTTTTAACCGTGGCTAAGTGAGTTTTCCATGAAGTAAGTTTTTATGTTAATTTTCATTCTGTTGAAAATATTAGTTGCTTGGAGATTCATTAATTTGTTGGGTTTTCTAATGCACCCGAAAGCTCTCCTGTATGATCTGAAATGTACACAAACTGGAAATGCTGCTTTGACTTCTGAAGGAATCTGCAGTTCAGTCATCACATATCCACATTCTAAGACTGTATTCCCTGTCCAGATTGCATCTTCTCTGATGCAATACCTTTCCAGCTTCAAGAGAGGAGATTACAGTGTCACAAATCAAAGGAATATATTAATCAATGAAATATAAAACCTCATTGCTTCAGAATAATGGGATATATAAATATATGAGAAATGCTGAGAGTAACAGGTTTATAATGGATTAATGAATATATTACTACATAATTTATAATTATCTAGAAAGTCTGAGAGTCACTGCTACTACTACTGAGTGTCATCTGCCAGACAGCACAGCCTGTAAAGGAGAATGGGTATTTATGACACCCAAACTACAATTTTCAGGAGATAGTAAGAAAGATGTTTCTAGTAAAAATATTTGTCTGGAAATAATACTCCGTACTGAGTTTCAACTAAATTTCGAAGTACTGCATATTTGCCCTCTTTTTATTCTCATTCATCCTGCAAGCAGAAAAGTATCATTAGCATGAAATGAGTTAGAATTTATATTTTTTAATAGACTAAGTCATTTAGTATCCTTATCCACTAAAATCATACTAATTTTGACTAGACTCCTAGCTCTGAAGGCCCATGGAGACAAAGGACACACAGTGAATGTGCAGCACAAATGAAATTATGGCTGTATGAAGGGCTATGGACATTTGCTAATCTCTTCAGTAGCATCAGAATTTCACACCAGTTATTGTTTTCTGTCCATTGTCTTTAGTATGTAAGCACCTCATGTCTCCTCATCTTACTATCTCACAGAAGAGCCATGAAATACTTTTACCATGCCACACATTTTTCTTCATCTCTTGTTCAAAGCTACCTACCTACGCATCTTATTCTTCCGTGATTCTTCCCTCGGTAAAAGGATAACAAGGGGACAGGAGAAAATAAGCATGTTTCCTTCTTAAGTTTACTTAAATTCAAATTAAACATCTGGAAGAAGTTAGCAGTGAAGCTCCTATACCTTCAGATCACAAGAATTACTTAAGTTTATCAGCAGACATACTGTAAAAATGTGAAATTCCCTGTCCTTAAAGTTTTGTGATCTCGTTCTACAGACACTATGATTACATTACAATACTTTAAAAACTGAATGTGTTCTTTCATCCAAGACAATACCACAGAGTTAATGTATAAGAAGGCAGAGTTAAAGCTGTCTCCTTCCAGTTGCTCAGTTAAGCAAGTCAGGCAAATTAATCAAATTCTGTTCTAAAACAAAATTATAACTGAATACCAACATCTTGGACAGGAAAGCTGATTTGTTAATAATAAGCAAATATTTGTATTTTTTTAAAATTATCAGATAGTTGTTATGCAAGTCAGGTTCAAAATGCAATCATGTTTCTAAACAGAAAGCCTAGTGATAGAATATTAAAGAAATATTATAATGAGAAATTTTCACATCCAGGACGAAGCTGTCTTACATTTAAGTTCTTATTGACCAAGCAGCACAAATCCCCTGGGTTGTCAGCATTTCGAATGTCCACATCATGAGGAGACACAAATATCTTTTCATTGTATAAATCAAAGAATTCCACCTCGCTCAGGCCCACGTTTACTGGATTTCCCCAGTTAGAAAGAAGTTCCATAGTCACATAAATGGCATCACGTACTTCCATACTGGTTGTCATCTGGACCAAAATGAAATATGGTATAAATGTAAGTGACAAAACAATAAAACGTGGAACAAAATAAAGACTGTTAAGACTACAATACTGACAAGTCAGAAGCAAAAAGCTTGCAAACTCAAGGCTATCTGGATGACATTCAATCATTCTGGGTTACACCAATTCTGCTCCACATCAACTAATAAATCTATGGCAGGGTAAGAGAAGAGAACTTACCACCCTCTTACAAAGCCTAAGGAGAAAACAGCTCTCTGTTCTTTGTCTGATTCCTTTGTCATTCTGATGAACAAAGGAACAGTGATAAATGCTCTTCTCTTACCCTGCCATAGGTTTATTAGTTGACGTGGGGCAGAATCGGTGGAATACGGACCATTCAATGTACTTTTATTTCAGTAATACTGGGAAGCATCAGTTATGGTGCGTATATACACAAACCTTCTCTCTCAACATGGAATCTACTTCAGATTTGTCTTCAGATAGGAATAAGTCATTACCACAGGCAGAATGGCTCTCAGGCTCTGGAAGGACTTTCAGAAGTTTCTTCCGTTGTCTGAAACATACATATTCTTTTATGTGTTACTTCTTCATAATTCTTGTATTTTTAAGAAATAGTTTTGTTGGTGCGAAGGTGAAGAGATGATAGGACGAACCCACACACCCCACGGAAGAATCCCATGTACCCCCACGAGGAATGACAACTGTTGCAGTATCCCACCTTAGATACACAGAGTTTGGTTAAAAGACAGGGCTCCAGTTCTCAGCTGCTTCTGAGGCAGTCTGAGAAAGTAATACATAGGTAATATAAAGACAAACAGAGGGAGATGTTGGCAGTTCCCTGATCCACAGAGACTGGCCCAAGGCTGGAACCTTCTCCCTGATTTGCTACTACTTGCATGATGTCTCAGGTATCTAAAGGTAATTAGGTGTAGTGGTACTACACTACACATGGTGGTATACTGAAAAATCTCTCTTCAAAAAAGGAAGCTAGCCTTAAAGGAAATCTATATACCTGCTTCCAAAAGGACAAATTCTCTCAACAGCTTTTGTGACTGCAGTCCTTGTTTGGCTTTTTTCTGGAGGTTCAGCCATTGCAGAAACAACAGATGAAACAGAAAATTTCTTCTAAGTAAGACAAAGATGAACATGTTTCATTCACATTGTTCTCTACATACCAGTGAGTATCAGTCTGCATCTCTGGAACAAATAAGAGTTTGGGCCCAGCTCTGGTCTCAGCTGACCTTAGCTAATCTGTAGCTCTATACTGAGTTAAAGCACATTTAACAGAATTGGTCTTGGTTTGCAATGAAAGAGCTGAGCTTCTATGTGGAAGAAAAGTAACATAAAAGCATTCTCTGATGACTATTAAAAAAAAATATATATATATGTCTGAAATCTCCTTGTATACATTTGGTAGGACTCAGGGTTGGCCAAAGCTTTGGCACAGGTCTGCCTAGACTTTCTCCTTCTCCAAAAAAGGATCATAAAGACTTTTTAACCCAAAAAAGCTCATTTTTGTTAGAATAAAATCTTGATTTATTTTCTTAAATATAGAACTATCAGTAGTGACTATCTAAGAGAAAACAGAGGAAATGTCCTGCAGTTCTTGCAACGCTATGGGCTCTTTCTCTGCCTGTAACCCACTTTGTAAATATACCCTGCTCCCTTTGTTATTTTTCCTAAAAATTTGTTGGTAGGTTCTGTCAGAGACAGAATACTCAGCACAGTGAGCAACTAGCCAGATGAGGAATGGCAATCCTCTTCTTAGGTCACTTCCATTTCTATAATTTTTGAAGAGTAAGAGAACTTTAAAATGCTTAGAAGTTAATTACTTTTTTAGTATTAAAAATTCTGCATTGTTATATATTTAAATATCAAAGGCCAAGTTCCACAATCCCTTAATTGTGTAAGCAAAATTGAATTACTTCTGGAAGATCATTTAGGTCAGCTTTAAGACTGAGAACTCACAATGGGTTTTTGAAACTCCATCTCAAGTGTCAGGGTAAATTACGTCTATTTTAAGTATTATTTGATTATTTTTCATTTAAGCACAACACTATTAAAATCAGTTCTAATGTTAGCAGGAAGGTACATTATGTGAGAATATTCAATGGAATTTGTTCTCTCAATCACAAAGCTATAAATATCTCAAAAACAAGAGGAATAAGATTGAAAAGTTGACCTAGATGGAGAAATCGTATGTAAAGTACTTACCTACAGTAAAAGAACATTTTAACCTTTACTCCTAACCAAAACTCCCCAGAAACCTAACGTCGGCTTAGTGATGACAGTGGATACATATTCATCATAGCATCAACTCACAACTTCAGGGAGCATCAGCTTAGGCTGAAGTAGTCAGCTGTCTTGGAAACTCTCAGAATTCAAATGAGTAACTCCAAGAGTGTCTAGGCATATTGCTTTTCGTTCCTATAAAAATGAGTCTCCTGAACACCAACCTGGAAGCAGACTTTGAATCCGTGAACACTGTCCATAAGAGATAGTTTTGTAAATTTCAGTTTATGCTCAAATTTCTTCAGGTACTTTCCTTCTGTTAGCAGAACTGAATTACTGGTTATGCTCAAAGTTTAGCTAGGATTGTCAACACAAACTTCCTTATTCTTTAACTCAGTGAGGAATAATGGTCTGACCTGAATCAGAAGGGAATGGATTTTTGTTGATTTCCTTGTTTATAAGATGAGTTTTTAATTGCTTTTAAACATGGTTGTTGGAGATAAGAGATGTACACGCATTGATACAGAAAACCCATACTAGCTCCTCCTCACTAAGAGCCAGCAGTGTACCTGACAGCTCTGCTCCAAAAGCAGAGCATGTATTAACAGGGAACAGTGCCCATATTAATGAATCCAGTAGGAAGGTAGGATTTATTGGTATGGAAATCACACATTATCTTGTTTAAGAAGCTTCCAGAATGAAAATGGCTCAACCAGGCCTGCAGCTGTGCATTTGACTGTATAGACATATCATGTGACTGATCTATCAGTTGTTCAGTGATCCCTGAAATCAAGAGAGAGCTGTGGGATGCCGTCCTGAGGACGCAGATTAAAGAAAACCACCCTATGGAAGAATAATACAAATTCAATTACACTTAAGAAGCATCACCATTCATTCATACATAATCTTAATGTATAACAGATTGTAATTCTTGGGGGGTTTGCTACTTGATCAAACAGCCCTTTTCTGTATTTTGCCATACCTTTTGAGGGCTTGTGGAAACTGTCTGCCTTTGCAGATCTCTCTGCAAGACTTCATTTTCAATTTGCATTGCTTTAACCACAGCTGAAACCGAGAGATCAGGATCCTTCTCACACACATTCTTTCGAGTTGCTGAAAGCGGTCTTTCTGGTCGACTTAATGGTCCTGTCACCAAAAGAAGGAAGGAATATTCATTTGTCCGGACATATAAGTATGGAACATTACAACAGTGTATTTTTGAAACACCCGATTCAGTTACTGACACAGGGCTTTGCTAGCAGTCTGTAACCATCCCAAGCGAGGCTGAATTGCTCCAATTTGTTTTTATATTAAGATTCCAGGTCACATCTACTTTAGACAACAGCTGAAACAGTATCATAAGAGGAGGAAAACTGACAAATGAGAAACACAATTTTTATGCCTTAATATTTTTTGTACTTGCTTTGTTCAGGTATTTAATGGAAATGCCTTGTAAACAGTTCATTGAAAAAAGAAGTATATATAATTTCAGCACACCAGAATTTTTCAGTGTAACTGGGGTGTTCAGCTATTTTGGAAGAATCCCCAGAGTCTCCTAGCAAAACAAGGGGAATCAGGAGTTGCTATTTGCAAGGCAAAATAAATGACCTTATCACTTAAGTAGTCATCAAAATGCCCATACGCATCCCAATCTTCCCACACATCACAGAGAAGTAGAAACGCCACAGCCTATAAACAGGTTTAAAAGAAAGGAAATAAAATTTAACAATAGAGGATCTGAGATTAGCCTAAAAGAGAAGCACAGTGGTTATATTCAAAAGAAAGCACAGTGGTTATATTCAAGGACTTCAAAAGTCAAGGGAAGAAAAGAGACTGAAGTTGTACAGACATTAAGATCAAGTGAAAACATTGAAGAACAGGCTGATATACAAGCGTGTTCATAATGCTGCAGTGAGGTTTACTAAGCAGGGGAGTAAAATGGCAGTGGATGCTAGTAACGTGAAGCCTCCCATGAAAAGACAGGAAGTTAAAACTGAATTGAGATTTGCGTGCATTCACACTCTAAGCCCTATGCCATCTTCACTCACAAAAACTTTCAACAAGCATTAGTCACCTCTGCAAATACAGGGACAGAATAAAGTCCTTTTTATTTTTCTATACTATACCATCCCTGTGAAATGAAATTAATTGAAGGATTTAAAGTGATAGTTGGACAGAAACAGTTCTAACAAGCGCTATTATAGCCTGAGAAAATGCTACACACACCTTTGGAAAATGGTCAAAGCAAGCATCTGCTCAGACAGGTGGTGGGTGAGGGTCTCGGAAGCTACAAAGAGGATTTATTCTGAAGCCAAAAAGAATTAGCTTCTTTTCCTCAATTTGGTTTTCTGCCAATTAAGAAACTAATATTTTGACTTTTCAAAACTATTAGCTTTATTGCTTCCTTGGGACACATCTAGATTTTGCTTTTTTGAAAAGAGTGTCTTAACCATAGAGTACGGTAAGTCTGAAAACTTTATCTCAGACCTTTCAAAACTCAAGTTCATCAGACTTGTTCAATTAAGGACTGTGCTGAAATAACAACTGCAGTTATGATTTCAACCCCTAGATTTGGGGTTTGTTTGTTGGGTTTTTTTTAGCCCAGGTAAAGACCACGCCTTAGCAGCAGATTTCTAGAATAAGCAGCAGTGCCTTCAAAATAGTGTTCTCCAGTCCAGGAAAAACATTTTCCACTATGGTACTAGATACTGACATATCTACCCAGCACTGGAGACTGATCTGCAGTATTAAAGGTGTAATTCAAGTACAGTCCCAAGCAGCAACAGAGCTAGTTTTGCTGTGCTGTGGAAAACTATGCCTTTATTGCTATAAACGCATTGTGTTAAAATCTTCCACCAAAGTGTCAATTGCTGATTTTGAGAAGACACGCTTCCGTTAATACCATGGGGAACAGATCTCCATGAGGCAAGTGGGAAACATAGAGCAAGCACAAGGTCTGAAAGGGAGAGGAAAAAGTTTTATGCTGTGGAAGAAAAAGAGAAGGAAGGTAGTAAAGATGTAGCAGAAGACTAAAGTATACAAAGTATACAGGCTCTGGACTTTCTCACAATTTTACTTAAGTCAAAACACTCGAGGTGGTAAAAACAACCACAAAAAAATCCTCCAAAAAAAAAGGTCAACAGCTACGAAAAATCACATAATGACAGATGTGTGCTGAAATTACATCTGAGCCAGAGGGGAAAAAGCATGAAAACTCTCCTTATTGACATTATATATTCTTATTTCTTACTCGAACAAATTCTTTCATGTCTTTCCTGCTGCAAGAACTCAGCAGAGAGTGGCCGAGTGATTTTATTTTTTACCACGATTGGTCTCACAGGAATGTACATTTCAGCATTATCTTTTCTTTTTGCCGAGAGAACTCGCAGTGGCTTCACTTCTGCAAGATAATAAGGGAACAGAAATAATCAACTTCAGAGATATTTAGGAGCAGCCAGCCAGGCAAAACTTATTGGATCGTAACTGCTAAAATTTTGCCACTTTAATTATGCTGGCATAGTTAAAGTGATAACCTCCGTCCTCCCTCCCTTTCACTGATACTGTTCTACTGATGTAGAAGTACATATGCATGGCTTGCACTGACTTCGTGAAACAAAATAAAATATATCATTATAAGGTACCAATATATCTCATCTGTACCAGATATTTACCTGCTTTACTGTCAAGAAAAGCAAAAATAAAAAAGAGTTCCCGAGTCACTTATTAACATAGTTATACCAAAATAAATTCTTAAAATACAGACTAAAATGTTCGTCTTATTTAGAAGTTTCAGAGGGGGACAGGGTTGCCTAGTGTAGTTCATAAGAGTACTTCTTCACTTTTTTATTTGAGAATTATTAGTGCCTCCATTGTTTGCATCACAGCTTTGAAACTTCTCTCTGGAACAAAAAATGATGTACTCTCCCAAAGATCTTTTTCTCACTGCTGTTCTATCCCTTGTTCCTATCTCTTCTTCTGCCACCTCTCCCCATTCACACTCCACTCGCCTCTATGATAATGAGAGGAACACTCCTTTACTTAATTCGTTCAAAGATTGTTCCTCTTAAGTTAAGGAATTAACTATGGATAAGGAAAAGAAAAAAAAAAACAAGAAAAAACAAAACAAAAACCCAAAACCAATGAAGGTACCTGAAATTAGTGGGGAGGGAATTTTGAGAAATACTGAATGTAGGTCAAGGTCTGGTTTCCGCCTGAACTCTCTACCTTTAACAAGCTAAACATCTTTGAGACCTAGTGACTGGTTTTGGGTTTGGACATTGAGGTCTCCAGAGGAGGAGACCTGACAAAAAGAAGTGGCTCATGGCCAAATAGATTTGTTTTCTCGAATTAATACATCTTTCATCAGGGATGAAGAGCACATGCTATGACGACAGGTATCCAGCACCCAGGATGTGACATGGAGGAAGTTGAGACCGGGAAGATTTGGCTGCCTGGATTACTGCAAAAACAGTCCAGAATAATAAATATATTAAAGAAATAATAATGTCATGAGAAATCTCACAGTCTGAGATAATCTTAGTTCGAGTGTCTAGGCCTGGTGATGCAAGTGGGTTAAACAGGGCTGTATCTTTGTCTTTGCAAAAAAATTTCTTAACGTAGTAGCAAGAGGATGCAAGTCTCCCAAATCAGGAGATTAAAACAACAGGTTTGCTGCAGAGCATGAAAACTCATGAGAGTATGGAGTAACCACTAACGATTAATCAGCAGCGATTCCCTTAAAAGTAATGCTCTCAAAGAATTATTACAGTACTGTAGTAGTGCATAATACACAGAGACTTACTACTTTGATCCTGGTTGAACTCTAACACAGTAAGGGCACCAGAATCAAGGCCAGAGCATCTCCCAGCATCCTGATGTTCAGAAGCTTCTTTCTGTGATCGACTGCTATGCAACTGAAGGCCTCCAAAGCTTGTAATTGTTTCCTCAGTGGGAGATGGTTCTGAAAACACATCCTCTTCAACAGAGTCGTAATCATCGCTGAGAGAGTCTTCTTCCATCCTTTTCTCTTCTATATTGAGTTGCAAGCTTCTTCTCAATTTCTGGTACAATCCAAACAGATTTGTCAGAAAAACTTAAACATGTATTTTAAAATAAACCGATGTGGCTGCCTCTTCCTCCCCTAGGAGAAAGAAAAATCTTCTCATGAACTCAGAGCCATGATGCAGCTAAAAATATTCACATTCTTATGATGTGTCTTCACTCCTCTGATGAGGACTCGTAAAGAAAAATCATCCTAAAACTCCTTTGTTCCTTCTCATCAGAATCCTTGCAGGAAAATTCTGTAGGCCAAGCAATTTTTATGTGCAAAACCAATTTTTAGGAATAAGTTACAAACAGGAGGTAAGTAATGGAGAGGGCAAGGGCACATATTTTTCCAGTCTCACACAGTTAGATCACCCTATCTTTTGGCTTGCTATTTGATGACTAGCTGCAATTCAGATTTTCCAAATGCCTTCACAAGACTACAAAGCTAATGCAATAGTAACTTCTTTATGAGCAATTGGATAGATGATGATAGTCCTGTCTTGTACACATCTATACTTCAAAAAACAGTAGAAAAGACTTGTGGTCTAATGGACTAAGCTTCCAGTTTGCACAGGGTTTTTTAACTGGACACTCTGTAACAGGATTTTATGCAAAAAATAATCTACTTTGAAATTTACTGTTGAAAAAACTGCCCTGCCTCTCTCAGCATATGCCACAAACAGCACAGATGATGCTGGAGAGCCTTTTGTTTTTATGAATGTAAAAGGAAAAGACCTTGCATATCTTAAATGCGTTTTTTTCCTACTTCGTTGGTATCAAGAGTTTTGAGATAAGTATAGGTAAGCAAACTGTATGAGTAAAATGAAAACCTGAAGCTATCTTAGGTACAAATGAACTGTGACAGTTATGTTCAGTTTGCAGCGACAGCTTCAAGCTGCTCCTCTGCTACAGATTACACTTGTTAGGAAATCCATGCTGACAGAAACATATTACAAAGAGCAGGCAAACTTAGGTTCAAAAGAGGGTCTATAAGCAACCTGAAGCTTGATATTGAGCATGTCTTTATGACAGTCAAGACTAATATTTCTAGCTATTTGACAGGGAATTGTACAGGCTTTCTTTTAGTTAGAAACCTCATGACATCTGCGTTGTAACAAGACATTCACAAAAACACATTATAGCTTCAGGAAAACCAAAAGCATTTCCATCTGGAATACAAAGAAAAGTGGGGTTTTGGTCTAAAATTATTAGCTTACTACTTACACATAAATGATTACAAATATCCGTCACTGCAAACAAGTTACTGGTTTGTAGAGCAAAAAAACTCATAAGCTCAAAAGCAATGTAGGAAAGGTAGAAAGATGCAAGCTAGGAAAATATGCTTGGGAAGTTTGTCTGATGTCAGTGGTAAGATCTGTAGACAGTTTCACATATAGACACTACTCCACTACCCAGAAAAGCATTAATTGGTTAGGCAGAAAAACATTCATAAATTTTTTTTCATTTACTCTTTTTTTTTTTAAGCACAGGACATCTGTGAAGTGTGCTAGAACAAACCGCAATTAGTAACCAAATGGAAGGCTGAACCGTCAAACAACAGAGTCAATACAATAACAACCCTTGATGGAAAGCAACCGTATTGATTATAATATTTTAAAAACTTTACTCTGACTTCTGTTAGGTAAAACAATGACATGCAACAATTTTATCATGCTTATTCAAAAACTAACCTAAACCCAGAAAAAGTTGTTATTTAAGCTTTCTCTAACCTGATAGCCAAGAGTGACGTCCATGTGGACAACCATTAAGTGAACTGAAAGAGTCTCCTCGCATGAAATACCTTAGTTCTATCCAACAGAGACAATATTCTGCCTCTTTAAATTAGGACTTAACATGTTATACCGTTGTTGACTGAGATTAGATTTTCAAAGTAGTTTTACTTTTTCTTTTCATTTTTTCCTTCTTTGTGTCACATCTCATCAATGTGACATCATCTACTGAAAGAAACACTATATACTGGGTTTGCATGCTCTAGTCAAGACTAATACCTGGGCCCGTTCACATTTCAATTGACACTACCATGAACAATAGAAGGCAACTGCCAATTGTACCTGGGAGTAACGGAGAGGATCATGACCATTTGTTTCCACGCTCAAGCTTTCATAAGGTTCAAAATCCTCAGAGTACTCAAGAGGAGGTTTAATGCAGAGTTTAGCCCCCCTTTCTGTTTTAATCTCCACGGTTTTCTGTTAAAAGAAGCATTCAGAGAAATTAGACATCTTTTGTGCTCTCAGCAGTACAAAAAGAATAATCATGACATTTTACATAACAATATCTAGATCAAGCAACTGTTTTCCCCTCTGTTCCATAGAAGGTTTCTGTCCTCCCTGAGCTCACCTTTGGGCCCCTGCATTATGGTTTAACTGCCCTAGTCAAACTCCCTGCTGCTGCTGCTATCCCCAGAGTGGGTCAGGCCCAGCACACATGGGCCATGCCCACACATGCCCAGCCATGCGCTTGGCATCAAAGTGAGTGGCCACTGGGGTTCACCCCCTCACCTCATCAGTTGAGTGAAAAAACTATAGGAGTAGGGACATCACAATCAACAAAATAGCTGAAGTGCAATCACTTAAAGTGCAGGCATGTAAAGAAGTGCTGGTGGAACAACCCTATGGCGAAAGCTCTCGAGCCTCTTCCGGGGAATTGGCGTGCTTGGGTGCCTCTCTGAAATGCATCTACACTAATGGAGAAAAAACACATGGGGAACAAACAGGAGGAGTTAGAAGCTTGTATCCGGTTACAGGGCTATGACCTCACTGGGATCACAGAGATATGGTGGGATAGCTCACAAGACTGGAGTGCTGCGATGGATGGATACAGGCACAGGCTCTTTAAGAAAGACAGGCTGAGAAGGTGAGAAGGAATTGTCATCTGATTGGAGCTCTGCGAGGAACAGGTCAGGAGCCAGTCAAGAGCTTCTGAGTCAAGACTAGCAGGCAGACCAGCATGGGTGCTGTTATAGTGGGTATCTGCTATAGACCTCCTGTTCAGGAAGAAGTAGATAAGGTCTTCCTCAAAAAAATGGAAGAATCCACAAGTTCAAAGACCCTTGTCCTCAAGGGGTACCTTAACAAACCTGATATCTGCTGGAAAGACAACACAGCAGGCCTCAAGCAACCTAGGAGATTTCTAGAGTGCACACAGGATTGAGGAGCCAACAAGCAAAGGGTCTCTGCTGGAGATGCTGATAGAGCTGGGACTCTTCCGCCTGGGGAAGAGAAGGCTCTGAGGGATCTCATCAATGTGTATAAATACCTGACAGGTATCTGCTCACTGACAGGACAAAAGGCAAGGAACACAAATTAAAAAAAAAACCCACGTGAAATTCCATCTGAACAGAAGAAAAAAAATTACCGTGGGGGTGATCAAACACTGGAACAGGTTTCCTGGAGAGGTTGTGGAGTCTCCATCTGTAGAGTATTCAGAACCTGACTGGACATGGTCCTGGGCAACCTGCTCTAGCTGACCCTGCTTGAGCACAGGGATTGGACTAGATGATCTCAAGAGTTCCCTGTCAGCCACAATAATTCTGTGATTCTGTAATGTCTATGTATGAAAATGACTACTTGAAGTAATAGCGATTTTTTGAAAATATATTACACTTGTGTATAATATAATGAGGGCGAAATATTATGCCCTAAGCATTCAAGCACAAAGATTTCTTTGCCTTTGTAAACGTCAGAAATGGCTGCAAAAGTGGTTCAAATTAACTTGTTTTACTTCATAATTAGGATGCAATCAAAGTATGCATACTGTCAGTTACTCAAGCATGGCTAAAGAGGGGTAGGAGATTTGAGAAACTCATCTTTCCATACCACAGAATTTCAGTACTCCAAAACATGACAAAAGAGAAAGCAGGAAGTGCATATACCTCTCTCAAGGAACAAAGTTATCTGTAAGTAACTTTTTTCCCCTACTTTTGAACTCTTGTGCAGACATACTCCATAGGGGGAAGTCTCATAAGTGAACGATGGGAAGAGGACTGTTTCACTAAAGGTAACATGTGATCCAGAATTCTGTGCAATGATATTAAACTTAGTTATCTGGTGTTAATACACTCCTCTACCATTTTGTCAGTGCCAGGAGCAGAGATGTCCCAGAGAGAGGATCCTAAGGCAACCTGGCTTTTGATAGAATGTGTTCTTTCAATAAGTCTATCTTCCTGCCTCATAGCATACCTTTGCACAACCTAAGTTTGAGAGTTTTGAACATGAATTGCTAGGTCCTCTAGCTATCCAAAAAACCCACAGGGAAAATTACTGGGAAAGTAAACTGCTGTCTGGCAGAACCTGCATGTTACTCAGTGGTTGCACATTTCCTTAGCTAAATAATTCCAGTTGTTCATTAAGGTACTATAACCCTGCTATCCCCCCATCCAATTGGATAAAAGACTTAAGGTATCATTCTAAGCTAGTCTCAAGTAGTAGCTAGTTTTTACTATAGCTACCTATATTTGGCTAACTTTCCAATCCAGTCAGAGGAGATACATCCTTCTTCATTTGGCTCTTGTGATTAGAATGACGTAGGTTCTGACTAGCCACGCATTTGGCAAATTTAGCAAACAAGTTCTTACAGGCCAGTATGTAAGCAGTGATCTACTGAGAGAAATAGCAGCTGAGAAAATGAATTCAACTAAGTAGTAAGGGTGATAAATAAAGTAATGCAGCCTTAAAACTTGAATGTGCAATATTTGCTGAAAGAAAAGAAAACGTGCATGACACGATCACTTGATCCGCAGTGACACAGACCCCTGATCCCCAGTCACTCAAGCACAGACTGGACATCCAGCCAGGGCAATTGCTAATCAAGTAGGGTAATTATTTGGGTAACACGTCTCAGTTGTTCAGAACTCACATTTGTTCTGTTAATTAAGTCATACTCCTTGACAGGTTAAGTCAGATCCTTCTTTAAGCCAAAAGAAAAAAAGACTATTGAGGTTTCTCCAGTGAACAAACAACTATGTAGCTTTTGGCTTCAAATTTCTTATAGGCAGGTATTTTTATTATCTGTATGCATTTTCCTCTCTTCTGATCTACAAGAATCTGTCACAAATTACAACTCAATGCAAATTACACCTCTCTGTCCCTTAATATTATTGCAGGGTGGAGAACAGCAGTGACAGGCAGGGATGTATCTCCAAAATGAGATTCTCCACCCTTGGCACTAGATAAGCTCTCTAGGCTTGCCATCAGAGATGTCAAGCAACAGCTCTTCTGCTGGAGGACAGACTGAGCCAATCATGTCAAGGCTACAAAAGCTTCTGTGGTGGATGTCACTGAAACCAGACCCTTTCAATGAGATTTGCCTCTTCAGGATTCAAAGTAGAGACAAAACTGGTCAGAGTATCATTTCACATTGTCACTCAGTATCCAGACCAAACCAAGACTCAGATTCTACAAGGGTCCCAGCTGCCCACTATCTACTAGTTGCAACCGATTTCCCCTAAAATTATTTACAATCTAAGAATTAGTTCAAATATGCATTCTTTCAAACTGTTTCTTACCTGAAGCCAACTTCTGCGTTGTATTTTGCTTGGTGCAGTGTGTGCGCTGCGTTCTCGCAACTCACTCTCTTCTAGCTGGGCTGCTTTTTCAGAATGTAGAGACAAGAATTAGAAGACAGAAAATAGAAATACAGTATTTGTCAATACACACCTTAGTTTGCATTTGTTTGTTTGTTTGTTTTCCCCAGATGAGGACAGAAGAGTAAATCTTTGACATGTGAATGGTATCAACAACTGAAAAGGCATTCCACTTCAGATACTGGATAGTTGTGCATTAGTAGCAGGAGTTTTGAACCTCTCCGGGGACAGTCATCATCATGTGTATTCAAGAGAATAAATTGTTTACAAATACATTAGCTTAACAGCAAATGAAGCCCCACATTCACTGATATGAAAGTATAGAAATATGTTCTAGAATAGGGGTGCACATCATTCTAACTCCTAGCTGGGTAGACAGTAAGCTGTCTTAGGAAGCGAAGTGAGCCCAGAACCCATACTACTGAAGGCAGACTCTGATAGACAGGGTTCCTGTGAACAACAGGTGATATGCTGGGTTTACAAAGGAATTGTATAAACTCTCAAACTAAGGAAACATACGGTATTGGCAGATTAAACAGAATGTATTAGGTATTTAACATACTGTGCAGAGAAGGATTCTTCATGTACAAGTCATAAATGAAGGACAAACAATCACTTTCCTTCATTTCTAAGGCAAGGAAGAGTTGTTCCAGAACTTCTGCAAAAATTCTGTGTATGGTCAAGCAGAACTAAGGGTTCCTGTGCTGGAAATGGTCTCAACTTACAGTGGAACAACAGATTTTTGAGAAGATGCTTTGATTGAGACAAAGAGACAAACATCTTGCAGGTCACATGAGCATCCTCAATGAAGCAAGGACATCACCAACACTCTCAACCAGCATCCTAAATAAAGGTTTCTCATTTCCTATGTCCAAGACAGATTTACAGCTTCCATTTCTTCTCAGTGGAGAAAAATAGCTGACGCAAAACCTTTTTTCTTTAAGCCATAATTTAGTGGTCACCCTAAGCCAGCAGAAACTGGCACTACCAATAAAAGAAGCAGTCGTCCTACAAAGGTCACAGAATCACAGAAAGATTTAGTTTGGAAGGAACCTCTGGAGGTCACCTAGTCCAACTTTCCATTCAAAGCAGGGCTTACTTCAAAGTTAGATCAGGTTGCTCATTACAACTCTCAATACCACATTTTCTTTTTTGGATTGGGCAACGCTACATGCACCTGTGCAGTGAACTGTTCAGAGAATTGATATGGGCAAGTTTTAACTGAGGAAAAACTTAAAAGAAAGATTACTTTTAATTGTAGTCACTTGTGCAATCTGGTTCACCATGAGATTGCACAAATGCTGGTACAAGCAGGTAGGAGAGAACAGGCACAGGGTAGGACTGTTCTTGGAGGAACAGTGTATGCTTATGTCAATTTAGAGTGATCATAAAATTACAGAGCAAGAACAAGATGTTCTATTGCTTCAGCACAAAGTATCTGTCTCTTAGGCCTGAAACAGGACTAAGAACAGAGGGGAAAAGGAATGGACTGCTCCAAGGAAGAAACAAGATATATAACATCTTGTTTGGCAAAACAGCCTTTCCAACTAGAGCTCCTGCTACTCCATTTGGCTATTCCTAAGTAAGTCCAGAAATACTTTGCGGTCATTAGCATTGCTGCTGATTACTGTGGGGCTCTTCTGGCACTGAGGGTGAACTGTCCCGTATTGCAATGCCAGAAGCATGGTCTGATTCAGCCACTGCTTTGGGACAGAATTGGAAGCATCTTTCACTTCCTAAGCAATTCATCTCTTCTAAGCAACTGCCCAGAAGGCCACTCATGCAGGCTATAAATGTAAGTAGGAAAAGGGGACAGGGTAGGACTCATGCTACCACTGCTGAGTATTTGGTTCTCAGAATTGAGTATTTTGTGATGGATTCATGTGACCGTGTCTCTCTAAACCAGGAAAAACAGTAGTTCAAATCCCAGGCAGAAGTTGATGCAGCTGAGCTACTCATCTGTGCTACAAACATTACTTTAGAACAAAAACATCCTTCTCATGGGATGGATGGGATGTGAATACCAACGACTACCTGTTTTGGCACACAAAATAGGTCCACTGGTATCATTCCCTTGGAGACTTGAGCTGACAGGGCCCAGTCTAGGAGCCAAGGACTGATTAGTACATCATCAAAATATTAGTCATAATCAAAGGAGACCCCATGCTACCCTTAAGCCATGTCTTTGTGACCACACGGACATTCACTGGAAGTACATACATGGTTGTGAAACTGTCTGGGTTATACACCCAAAGAAATGACAGTATACCTAGAGACCTGCTTCACTACCTTACAAGCCCATCATTTACCTTAATTCATTTACCAAGCCTAAGCGTAAAAAGTTTATCAATCACTGTTATCATGAATTACTCCTAGGGAACACAGACAAAGAAAATAGTCCAGACAAATAGATTTATGATGACACTTTTAGGAACCACAAAGACAGATTTGTGCCCATTCTGTCTTATTAAGTATCACACATTCCTAATTTTTCAGTGAAGACTAATCCTATAGATGGATGCTTTAGAAGTAATAAATGATGCAATAACTCTCATGGGAGATGGATAGGGAAGAAAATTCAGTGCTGTATCTCAGCTAGAAATCATTTCTGTAAGTAAAATCATGTTCAATAATTGAGAAGAAATGCCTAGAAATTAAACAGACCACAAAATTGCTAAGGTACTACCCCCAAGCAAGAAGTTTATACAGATCACCAATAACTCCCACTCTGGACTCTAGTGGTAAAATCAAATGGAAGGAGAAAAATGACAGGATGATAATTTAGTTGATATCTTTCACTGCAACTACACGTGTTTAAAATAACAACATTGGATAGCTAAGAAACAGCAAAACACTGAGTTCTCTTCTGCAGAGATAATGCTACTGTCTCTAAGTCGATGGAGTTGAGGAAAGGAACAGAGACTGCCACTGAAGTCTTTAAAGGTCCCTAAGACAAGCTTAAATATTCTACCGTAACTGAATCAAATGGCATTAAGCGACCATAAAAATAAACAAGTTTGGTTAAGCTTAGAGATAACAGCTGCACAGCAAAACTTGAAGAGGAGATTTCTCTTGACAGAGTTCTATTACAGCTGCTGCCACAATATCCCTGCACAATTTTTGGACCGAAAAGTCAAAGAGGTTGTTTTACACCCTCTTTAGCTACCCGGTGTGACATCATCCCATCATCCCAGTGTGACAGAGCACACCATTTCCTTCTTTTTCCAATTTCCAGAACATGAACTTTTTTGCATCATTACACACAAGTTTTTACTTTCATACAGAACAGTGAAACCAGGTGACTAGCTGATTCCCTATCACCATCCCGTATAACCTGCAAGAAATTATATAGCAGACAGCTAAGCCTGAACACACTTAAACTTGAAAACAAATAGTATGCACCCAGTGTAGCAGGAAAACAAAGAAAAAAAACAGATTGAGCTTAGAGTCATGGTTAGAACGGTTACTGAAAGAAAAGTTAGTTTCCGGTATTGTTGAGATTAATAAACTTTCAGTCATAATAAATTATCATATTAAGTAACTTTTTAAACTCTTTGTCTTCATTTTTAAGTGAAAGTAAAGCTTAAGCAGACGCGATCTACACAGCAACAGCTTAAAAGAATACATTCTAAGATAGAGAGGTTGTAGCAAGCGTGAGAATAACAGACTGACGTTGGTAAACTGCTTTACACGGGGATTTAGTGAAATCAACTTTATTTTCATGATGTTAAATAGATTAGAAGGCCAGTAAGCTCACACTTTATACCTTCATACATGCAAAATTATTCTTGTCACTACATTGCTCTCTATGACAGACAGACTTAAATTAGAAATAAAATACACATTTTTAAATAAAGCCAGCTAATCATTGGCAGAAAATGGTAGATTTTCATTACTTCAAATATTTAAATAAAGATTAGCTGTCCTTTTAAGACAACTATTATAGCTTAAACATAATTTATGAGCTTAATGCAGCTATTACTGGATATAATTTGGTTATAGTCCATGTCATCAAATGTCATTTGTCTACAGGACACCAGACTTAGATAACCAGACCAGATCTGAAAGTCCATCAGTCCATCAGATCTTAAAGTCTATGAACGGTGTTATGTATCGGACAAAGGCATACAACTATTTTACACTGGCAATTTATATACATTTATAATCTTTTAGTTTTAGTTATAACTGTTTAACAACTGGAGAGGCGAGGAAATTAAACTTTGGAATTAGTTAGGGATCAACAAGAAATTGATAGGGTGATGCAGAGACCGTTCCTTACATGCAACCAGCATAAGTACTCTGATGAAAGAGTCCCATGGAATTTCATTCCACCAAGCTCAAATGCTGCTGTCTGTTTATCACAGCCTGACCAGTAACCTCACCGACTGAATTACAGCTCTGATGAGTAAATGTTTAAAATAGTTCTAGACTGCAATCTCTGTAAAACTCTCATGTAACTCACCATTTGTCCTGGCGGTCTTTGTCTCATTTTTAAGGTAGCCATGTGAGTTGATTTTTCTGCGGTAATTTCTCAGCTCTGAATTAGCTCCATTCAGGTACAGAGAAAACCCTTGTTCTAACTGCTCCAGTTTGATTTGTATAGGATCCTTTCTTTTCAAACGTCCCAGTAGCCTGAAGTAGAAAGGATAATAATTCATCCTTACGCAGTGCATATACAGATGGTCAGATTAGCAATAAATACAAAAACACACGAAGTCACAAAGCTGAAAAATATGTTCATAGTTCAAATAACAATTTCAGACTATAGCTTCCGGGACCTGTTCCTGTTCTGTAATGCTTGTATGAGTACCCACATGCTGTGACATAAGAAGTTTGACCGAACCTCTCCCTTCTGAGATTTTTTCCATGTTGTTTCTCATTTCACGTTATTTTTTCCATTTGCTATTTAGTATATTTAACCTTTCTTCTTGAGAATTTTAAAGAGTTTTACATAGAATTTCAAAAAGCTTAAAAATGGTTGAGCTTTTTTTTCAAGAAAAAAAAAAAAGAAAAAGATTATTTGTGTTTCGAAACCTGAGGGGGAAAGCCCCCAGTCAATAGCGCAGTTAGAGATACCTGAAAATTAAAGTCTGGATAAAATAATATTAAAAAAACGCCCTTCCCCAGGCTCAATTTCAGTGAAACACCTACCCTCCCTCTTCCAAGTCTAATCTTCCCTCCTTTCGCTGTGGGTTATATTCAGTCCATCCTAATTCCTTCGGTGAGGTGACATGCAGGCCAGGAGGTTGGGGCCTCGTGGGTGACAATTTCCGCCTGTCCCTGCACGGTGCTTCCTGGTTTCCCTCTGACTCCAGGGTGGGTCAATCCACAGGCCAAAGTCCCCCAAGGGTGTATGTGTTCTGACACGAGTCACCTTTTCCCAAGAGCGTGTCCCCGGCCGTGTCCCCAGCACTCCTCTAGGCAGCATGCCTCCGCAGGAGCACCCCACTCCCTGCAGCCAGCACTCTCTCAAACCCACCCCAGGCTGCTCTGACGGGCTGATAGTTTGGTACGTGATGGGCTGTTTCTGTTAGTTTTGGATGCAGCAGGAGCCAGCTGTGACTGGCCTGGGGCAGTACCTGACCTGCTCCCACACGGGCTGCTCTGCAGCCCCCGCTATCCAAAACTGCCAGTTATGTCCAACACGTGAATGTATCCAGCATGCCTCTTCTGAAAGGTACAGTTGCCACCTGCCTGTCATGTCGTAACCCAGTGGCATTTGTCTCCACCAAAATTCGGAATTAGAGCTGTGATAATAGGGATGCAAGTTGTTTCAATCATTAAATAATTTGTTTTTATCCTTTCCTAAAACCACTTTAGGAGACTATATATGAAAGAAACCCGTGTTCACAAAAATGGGCTGTTCTTCTAACACAACTGTGGCTTTTGTAGGTTTTTTTGGTCTCTTCACCAAACAATTCAGTTTGTTACAGGATTTGAGTAAAAATCTTATGGCTTGTGGTAAAGGAGGGAATCCAGCAAGAAGATTTTGTAGACCCTTCTGAATTAACCTATGAAATTCATCTGTCTAGGGTACAATGACAGGAAGGTTCATATGAACAAAGATTAAAATAAATGTTTTAAACTTGTCTGAAAGATACTGAAGTTTGCAAAAGCAACCTAGGTGTCCTTATCTCCCACCTGAGCAGAACCTGACTTTGCACATTTAACTTCAGCAACGTTTGCATGCAATTTTCTGTATTTGACAACATAAAAACCTTGCCTCATAACAACATCCTCACACAGTGTGAGCTGCCAATTACTTCTGAATCTAGAACCTCTAAACAAAAATCTTCCCTGCAAGCCATGGAAACAATAGCTATTTTATTAATAAATTTATCTACATTTTAAAGTGTGCTGAAGAAATAGTGTGATCTTCTCTAGAAATAAGAACTTTGATGTACTTAGCAAACAAAGGGAAGAAAAGAGAAACGCCTTAATATTTTAAGACACAGCAAGTCGGACTTTGCATCACAAGTTTAAAACCCAAGTTTTTAAACTAATATTCACAACTGCTGATATTAGGTACTATATTAGATAGTACACAATGGGTATTACACACTCAATGGTGGTAACAATTCTGTACCTTACCGGTTTCTCTGCTGAAGGGATATTAAGTATTCATCATGTTTTTCATCAAAGTCAGTCACCATGTCCTTAATATAAAGCTGAAATGAGAATATAATTGTCACATTGAAGTATCGAAATGATTTATTATAGAGCACTACTGGTTTTGCACCCTCAATAGACAAGAATGCTATAAACTGAAAAAAGTTCCTTCTTCAACAAAGCATGAGACTGTCAGTGTAGTAAATAAAGTTCCTGAAGAACAGAGGAAACGTTACTTGTTTTACTTATTTTTCAGAACCCTTCACAATCTACTGAAGAGCCTAAAAACACTAAAAATGGAAGGCATATGCTATAATGAGTTTACAGTCCAAGAACTGAGAAGCAAGTCAATTCTGGGGCACAAGCTGAAAGGGCCATGCCCAAAGCCCAACTGTAGGATGATTTTCCTGAATTGCTACTGCTCATGAGGTCAGTTAATTCTCAAAGTTATTCACTGCGGAGGCTGTATACGTTTAAAGTGTTTAATTAAAGATTTTTACCTTGCTTGCCTTTGAGGAAATATGAACCTTTCCAGCTATTCCCACCAAGTATCCCAGAGTTGCTGCTGCAAGTTGTGGTTGGGTGCCCTCTTACACGCTCAGAAGTTTAAACTTGCCACCAAAACTTTTAATTCAGTTCTGCAGCAAAAAAAGAAACCCCGTATTTTGTCTCTTACCGACTGCAGAGTATCTCTGCTAAAACACTGCCCCTTCCCGCGCCCTCGCCGAGGTAACGCAGCGTCGGGGCTGAACTGACAGCTCTCCCCAACGGCAGAGCAGGGCCT